TTCACATTAGAGGATCCACACAGAGGATCAGATCCTCCAATTTGACACCCGTTGCAAGATAATTTTTTTTTTTTATTATCTCTGACAAAAAATGCCGACAATATTGTAATTATATACATACGTGTGCGTGCACGCACGACAGAGAGATTATTAATTAAGGTTAATTTTTTTGAATTTTCAAATAATTTTAATTAAATTTTCACATAAAAACGTATGCAAAATTATATGACATATATATTCTATCCATTATTCATATATTAATTGGTCTCACAATTAGCACAACACATACATTTAAAGAATCGGATTAGTTAAAAAGGCTTGGATACTCATTTTCTTAAGGTTTAATTTTTGGTCATTGATTATATCCCGTTACCTATTGTTATGATCTGGCATTTAATTTATCGATGATTTAGCCGACTCTAATATTTAGATACGATTATTGATACTGTCCGGTTCAGTCTCAACTTATATTATGAGGCATTGATCAAGACTTGACTCTTGATTTAGTAACAATACGAACACTAGAAAATACTTCGACTAAACGAGGAGTATACTAATATTGAGAATTATATTTGAGGGAAGAATATTGAACAAAAGCAAAAGTAATCCAATCCAACATTTATTATAAATAAATTAAGTAAAAAGGTTTGATGTTCGTCATTTTAAATGACACATGTTATGTCATTTTAAGAGAAAGATAAACACAAAAAATAAAAATCATGAGAGAGAAAGTGGTTGTTGTTTTTTTTAAATTTAAATTTATAAATAAAAAAATGATTATGTGTCTATCTCTCTCTTTAAATAACATAATTTTATGTCATTTAAAATGAAAAATACTTTTTCGTAAGTTAAAAGTTATATAACTTAATTTTTACTTACCAAGACTATAATATTATTCAAACGAGTTAGTTTTGATTATCTTAATTATTTTTAAATCCGTAGCACTACTTCCAAATTATTTAATCATTAGTATCTAAAAAAAATTATAAATGGAATCAAATGATAGCATATATTAATATACTATTAATTCCCAGTAAAATATTTTCGATAGTTTGAGCAACAAAACATTGTAACCGAAGGAAATAATTAATAAATTATTGCTCTCTGCTACAGTTTCGTACTGACCAACATAATAATATCCATTGTATCGATCTTATATAAACAAACAAAAATGTGTTGGACATCTACCAGACACATATTGTGAATGGTACCAAATAAATAATAATCTATTAACAGCCACTTCATCAATAAAAAAAAGGAAAAAACGATTTTTTGCCGTCACCGTCTTCTGTAATTTATTAATCTTTTGTTGATGCTATCGTTTTCTCTAACGTCTCTCTGTGTGAGGCTTCCTATGTTCCCAAGTACCAAAAAATTCTTGCAGGGGGATTATGAAACGCATTATTATTTTAAGCCAAATTTGTTTGGTTTGGCGAGCACTGCCGTCGGTTTAGTGATGAATACACGTGAACATGAAGGTATATGCCACTCAAGTAATCTAGGTATTTAACGATTGTTTATTCCTAATGCGATTGATTAGTGTGGCACAAACGTAATTAATTTTGTTTTGGTATTCGAATCTGAATTAAATATTGGGAGGAAAGTAGAAGATTAATTTCTAACTTTTTTTTTTTTTTGATAACATAATTTCTAACTTTAACTCGTAAGTGGTTTATGACCAAACGGCTTCTGCATTGTAGAAAGGTGAAAACTACATATGGAATAAGGAAATAAAAAAATGTAGTTACAAGAATCACACATGACAGACATAATTTTTTACTTAATTTATATATACTTGATGATTATAATTTATTATGAATTATTACTTAATAAATATAATTTAATAAATTATTATTGTCAGATAAATACACAGAAATAGCAATTAAGATTAAATATAAGACTGAAAACTTTTATATCTATATAAATTAATCCTGCGGAATATATATATATATATATATATATATATATATATATATATATATATATAATAAGAGTTTGGTGTTTGTCATTTTAAATGACATAAGTTATGTCATTTGAGAAAAGAGATAGACACAAGGAATGAAAATTATGGAAGAGAAAATAGATGTTTTTTTTAGTTTAAATTTTAAATAAACAAATATTATTTTGTGTCTATCTTTCTTAAAATGATATAAACTTATGTCGTTTAAAACGACAAATACCTTTTTCATATAATTATTAGGGGAAGGATATTGTGACAACCAAGTTGTGTTACTACCAAATGACTACCAATCAATCTCGCTGTTAGATTGATTATGTTGATCCAACGGTTATATTTATTTCCATCTTTGTATGGTCATGATTCCCCATATTTAAAGTGAAAGCATTAAATATGAGAAATCATCACCATACAAAAGTGAAAAAAAATATAAAGTATTAAATTTGGGGAATCATGACCATACAGAGATGGAAATAAATATAACCGTTAGATCCATATAATCGATCTAACGGTAAGATTGATTGGTAGTCACTTGGTAGTAACACAACTTGGTTGTCACAATATCCTTCCCCTAATTATTAATAGCTCAATTTTTATTTTTTTATTTTGGGCAAATTACATGAAACCACCTCATAATTAAGTGCTCTTTCAAAACACCACCCTCCACTTCCAATTCAATCAATTAACCCCCTTATACTTCCAAACAGTTACAATTAAGCATATTTATTGGTTTTAAGACAAAAATACCCCAATTCTTATTTCATCATCCACTATTGCTATTGCATACCTCCACCCCTCTTGGTGTTATTCTTGTCGGTGTCGTTCCTGTTTCCGCTGCCTGATAATAATCCCAAATCACCAACTAATATGCAAGTGCTATATCTTCACAGGATTGCAATAATAGCGGTGAGGTAGTGACAAATGAGAGGAATTTCAAGTTTGCAAATGTAATAATACTCACCAATATGTCAAATATCAAAATATCCGAACAGTGAATTTATATCAGCAAGGTAGAGAAAACAAGATTGGGTGCAACAACTTCAATTAGTAGATTTAAAATTGGTTCAAGTTAATACATGGTTTATGTTAGATGCAGCACAAAAAGTACAAATTAAACCAAAATATGTATAGTTAAACAACAATCAACAATACAGACAAACTTTGAACAAGATTATTATTTTATCTCAAATCAATTTTACAATATTGCTAAGTGTTGATATGGATGAACTACAACATTAAAATGACAGAGCAACACACACATATATATATATATATATATATATATATATATATATATATATATATATATATATTATTTTTTTTTGATAACAGCAACATATATATTAAATCAACTAAAGATATAGGAGACTTTAGATTGCGCTAACCAAAAATTCAGTTGTGACAGTATGATAGTGAGCTCAATATATCAAAGTATGATTTAGATCAAAATCTAAATTGTGCAATGAAATATATACAACATTAAGGACAAAACAAAGGTGTTGTTTTAGCTGTTATATTGTGCAGAAATTATACTAAAATCATAATTCAATGATAAGCTATGCTAGTTGACAAATTCAGAACTTGATATCCAATTTCAAGTTTCAGATTAAGAAGAAAAATGCATAGAAGATTCGAATTAACATTCAGTATAGCATATTCAAATTAACATTTTTTTGGTAACATTCCAAACCATTCCCCATTAAAAATCATCCCTTACGGCAAAACGTGGGTAGTATAGCAGATTCGAATTAACTTTTTTTTTAAATTTTTTCCAGTGAGTGATGACTGACGGCCAACAATGGATAGTGGACGGTAATGGATGATGGTTGAGGGTGATTGTTAGTGGGTGAAGACATTACCAATGAGTGATGGCAGGGACAATGATCAACGGGGATGGTGGGATGAAATAGAGATATTTTTGTCTTAAAATTAATAAATATGCTTAATTGTTACTATTTGAAAGTATTAAGGGTTAAATTGATTCAATTGAAAGTGAAAGGTGGTTTTTTAAAAAAGCACTTAACTTTGAGGTGGTTTTATGTAATTTACCCTTTTATTTTTGGGTTTTATAATTCTCATGTTGAAGGAGAATTGAAATCTCATGTTGTAGAGATAAAGAGCATGTGAGATCCATGTGTTAGAAAAAATTATATGTAGGATCCATGTCAGCACGAAAATCAAAGAGTGTGTAGGAAAATTATAATTCTCATGTTAAATGAGAATTATAAAACCCTTTATTTTTTTGGTAAACAATAGCTCAATTTTTTTGATAAAGTAACGTGCACACCTAGCTTCACGTCTTACTTAAAAGTTACTTGCCATTTGCGAACGACATTTTAAATGTGTTTTATAATTAGCTTATTTCATGTTTGACATAATTTGTAATTAAACTTTTATAAATATATATATATATATATATATATATATTTATATATATATATATATATATTTTAAAATAATCTAGACAAAGGTAGCTTATATATAATATGTAAGTAATGGGGGCAGTTAGAAGCATCTGTGTAGCACCCTCACCTTTTGAGCTAGTTTTTGGGGTGGTGTATCCCAAGGTTCTTTATATGGTATCAGAGTTTAAGTGACTACAAAGTCACAAGTTCGAATCCTCATCGCCTCCACTTTAAAGTGAAATTAAAATAAAAAGCACAAAAGGTAAACCATAAGACCTTGGGCACTTTCAACTTTTGAGTTAACTTCTAGGGTGGTATATCCCAAGATTCTTCACATCATGAAATGATCAACTGATTGGAATATTTTTAAAATAAAATAAAATTTAGGAGGCTTTATTTTCCAAGAAAGAAAAACAAAATTAGAAGGCTTTATGCTTCTGTTATCATAATAAAAAGTAATGGGCCAAAAGAACGTTGAAAACAAAGGGAACTACAACAAGCTGGGGCCTGAACAAAACAAAAACCCAACCCAACCCAATCGTGTTTAAAAAATTAAAAAGATTCAAATTAAATAGTTTCCTTTTTTTTTATTTCCCTTAATAAATACTTTACTTCTTAAATTCAAAAAAATAGACAAAGCGCGCATGTTTGTTGTTATTTCCCTCAAAAGCAAGGTTCACATCGATGGCGGCATCAGAGACAGCACCTCCTCCTCCAGAAGTAGATCCCGAAAATCAGTTTTCCTCTCTCGTTTACGGTTAGCCATAACCATTCCTTTCAATTTTCATCTTCCGTTGTAATAATTAATTCATCAGCGTTCGTTGAATCGTTAACTTGAGAGTTTTAATTGGCTTATATTATAATTGCTGTAATTATTGAACCTAATCGTTTATTCTTAATGGAATAATCGCGTGTGCGTAATATAACCTAATTCTAAGCAATGCATGATTTGATTGATTGCTGAAATTTCCGATTATTCTGTTTGGTTTGAATTATGATTATTCTGTTAAACCGTGCAGACATATCAAATGAAGCCCAAGCGATCATGGAGAACATGCTTAAGATGATCGCGTTAGTTGCTTAATCATCATTATTTATTAACTATCAAGATATTTTATAAGACAATTATTATCTATTTTACTTTTGCTTTCAGATCAAAACTTGTGATTATTTTGTGCTCCCTGATCTAACAGCTATTTGTTCTTAATTTGCAGTGAGATTAATCAAAATTCTGCAGTGATTGAGAAAGAGATAGAGAAATGTAAAGGTTATGCTCTTGAGAAGAAAAGAGTCTTAGATGAAGAGAAGGATCACTTTCAAAAAGCTGCTTATGCTGTTCTTGACATGCTCAACAGAGATTAAAACGCTCTAGGGTATCATGCTATACGTATTCCATTTTTATACTAGAAATTTATCTCCTTAAGATCGATGCATGTTCTTGTCACCTGAAACGGCAACATACCATAAAGACCAGCCTCTTGTTAATCTCTGATTTGATCGATTAGAGGATATACATCTCGTCATTCTCTCTTAAGGCGCTTAGTTCTTCTACTTCTGAGTACACAAACCAGCTTAGTATTGCATTTGGTTATTAACTCAATATTTTCAATTCAATGAATAGAAGATTAAAATCATAATACTATATCCAATACACAATGGCCTTAAATAATGATCCCTTGGACAAATGTGACTGTTTGCAGAATGTCTTATAACTCTTACTAATCCCTGTAGGTGGAGTATCCTGTAATTAGGTCCTTTTCTTTTCTCAATATCATTCATTCATGAAACCACTCAGAATCTTTTGGAGGTATGCATTCATTTGGAATGTATACTTGCTACTCTGAAAAGATCTTCTCTTGAATATGGGAGAAGTATGAGCTTTTGTGTTGTTCCATTTCCGATTTTGTTTTAATTGGGATGATGTCCGTGGATTTTAATTCTTATGGGGACTGGGCTTGACATTGGATTGGAATTTCCTGTTCTTCCTGCAATTAGTAGTAGGTAAGCAGGTAAATAGTGTCATTTATCACAAAATCTCAGTGAAAAATTTTGACGAATTCCGTGGCCCTATCAATTTTGGAATTTGGACACACTGGTTACGCAAAGACACGGAATAAAGGAACCTAGGTAACCTTTTCATATCAAAGGAGTCCTGTCATGTAGAGTTCGAGTTGTTTGTCAAACTGAACTAAGATTGCAATGAAGCTGATTTTATTCAGTGTGATCTGGTTAGCATGCTGCCACAAGGAATGTTGCTTTCATGCATGACTCGGGACTGGTTTTGTACCCTTTACCAGGGGACAACCATGCGTATGTCTCCCGCGTGACGCACCTTGCTTCACTTGCAACAATTAGTCTTCCTGAGCATTAGAATAATATGGGAAAGGAGGAAAGGAGCTTTCGACTCTTAATTACATGTACTATATACAGTTGCAACCCAGGATATTATATGATAGGGGAAAACATTTATATTATGAGAAGGTAATATCAGTTTTGGTTGAAATGATCATGCTAAAAATGCAAAAATATCTGCTAAGAAAAACCTAATAAAATTACAAAATTGGATTTACATGTATTAGAGACGAAATGGTGGTTCGTGGATAGAGACCTTTATGTGAAATAATATCAGTTTTGGGATTTTGATGGTAATTATAGGTAATGGGATTTGAAATGTTTTGTGGGTCAAGTTCATGGGTCATCGGCAGTGATGTTGCAGGGATATGGTGACTCTGGTGGTTTGTGGTTTTGCTGTTCTTGGTTGAGCGAGGGAATACAATAATGTTGACTATTTTGATTTTTGGAAATGATACTAAAATAATGGCCAAAGTATGGTTAGAAAGTAATAGACGGATTTTTATATGATTGATCTGTTTGTTTGTGGAACTAAAAAACCTTCAACATGGATTTTTTTTTGGGGGCGTAGGCATATTTTTTTTGATTTTATGGGAGGCGGTGGCCAATCCTAACTCCAATGTATCTCCGCCCCTGACTATATAACAATGATATAATTACGCAAAAAGATAACTTAGTATATGGAAGGTAGAGATGTGAGTGATCCAGGGATTTGTCAACATGGAGAACAACAAAAACCCTCGTTTGGCAAGTTGGCAACGATTTTTCATCTCTATAGATTATTTAATCCCACCTGTTAGATGATTTAAAATTGTTTAAATTTGAAATGCCCAAAAGCTGTCATCTCTTTACTCTTCACGATTGTATGTCAGATTCAATTATCTGAATAATCACATCTTGGATTATCATATATTGGAAAAATAGTGCAATAATGGGCACATTATAACGTTATGCTATGCACGCGGCGTTTGAGACTTCCAAGTTAAGGCTATTTTTACATGCTTATAAAAGTAACGTATTTATTGCATATAATAAATAATTCATTTGTTTGATAAAATGTTTAGTTTTTAATTAATTTATAATATTTATTAAGATGCTACGTAAGAAAATAAGTTAAGACATATAAAGAGAATACATACTTAAGAACGTTTGCTTTCTATGATTTATTATGTAAAACAACATAAATGTAAACTTTATTTAATTTTGCATGAGAAAAATTATACTTACTATCTTTTTTCTTACTACCTCTTACTATTAAATCTTAACCGTTAATTTCTTTCAATCTAACAATATAATATATTAGATCACACTTATTAATTAATTATTAATTTTCAATAAAAATCAACGGTTAAAATTTAATAATAAAAGATAATAAGAAAAAATAATAATAAGTATAATCTTTTTTATTTTGCATTGTGAAATGCAAGATTCACAATTTGATTTGATTGTTCAGCTCTTCCAAGTAATTTCGTTCACGATTTTAGTAACCATACAACAAAAAATAAGTATGATTGAACCGGAAGATAAAGCAAAATAGATCCGCCCAATGATTTAAAACCGAGTGAAACACCAAATGAAATGAATGACATCTTTACAACAATTTTCTTTGATACATTGATACATGCTCAAAATTCATGTACAAATATTCTACTCTAAAACTTCAATATTATGCAACCAATTGTAGAGTTCTCCTTTGCATTGCCATACTAAAGAATAATTTTCGTTGGGTGAAAGAGTCAATTCTCGAGTGCTTAAGAACTTCAGGCACCATCGTCGTTGACATTCACATGGTCCCAAATTCAGTATCTGCATGAGATTCAGGAATAAGAAACCATCAATTTCTGCTTAAACTATATGATAATTTATTTCCACTAATCTTCTAAAACCTGGCAACGGTAGCACTACCACACATATGTTGGACCAACTCGGAAGTTCGTAGACCCTCAGATCACACAGACTCAGATAGCTGCTTCAACAAATCCAGAAACTCTGAAATCACAGAGACAACATAAGATCTCTCGATTTTTACAATTAATGCTTGATTCCCATTGCTCTGGTCCTAACCGCTTCCCTTGAGAAATGGCTATGATCTGATTCCTTCTTCCTACACATCTAGTGCATCAACAATAGACCAAAAGGTGCACATTGGACAATCCACAGATTCTGCCAGCAATAGATTACATGTACTGAGCCAACCATTGCTTACACATGTCAAGCACGGGAAGTGCATTTGCATGCAGTGCCTGCAAGAATATTGATAGTAAGGCAAGAGGAATTGAACATTTTAGAAGCAAAAAATCATGTTTACAGGCCAAGAAAGTGGTAGCAATAGTGAAACACTCTGTCAAGCTTGAGAACGAGAAAAAGTAAGTTCTTGATATGTGAGGTGCAGGTGACGTGGATAACCCCAGGGCATGTTCTAGCATCCCTAGTAACAGGAGCTGTAGAATCCATCAAAACTAAGAAATTGTTTTTTCTCAGCTTATTTAATTTATAGCTCATTGGATGCACTGTAGCAACTAAAGGATATGTACGTCATATGTCCAACTATTCTGCGATTAAGTACTTTCAAATTTCTTATCTTTTGGTCCGAAGACCAGGAGAAGGGATGAGGAAGGAAAGAATGAGTTTTAAGTACTGACATTTACAACGGAATGAGTCTGGCATTAGGTTCTTTCCAAGGAGTTTCGAGGCACGGACTCCTTTATCACTGAGAAAAGGACTTTTCCTCTGGTGATTACTGATTGGATATTTGAGACTTACGAAACTAAAATCAGAGCAATGACCATAAATTGTTAATTTTTTTAAAAGTAAAATGTTAACCTCTTTGTAGAAATACAGAGCAAAGGTAGAGAGAGAGAGAGAGAGAGGAATACTGTAGTCTGCATAATGGAATGCACTAACTTGATACATGTGTAGTTAGACACTTAGGCTAGCAATCGGGTGTAGTAGAAGAGTAGTACAACTCATAAAGGTCCAGCCCATAAAAGATAACACACTGACACATCGTGTTATTTCTTTTTGAAGTAAAATGTGGATCTCTTTCTTTCAGCTAAAAGGTATTTTATTCATTTTAAGCAGAGAAGCTTGTCTTAAAGTCTAAAAATTGGCTGAAAGAAAAAAGGTATTTCCAGCCTTTTTCGTGTGCGCGAATAAGATTTTAACTTAAGAAAGAAAAAGAAATTATCTAAACAAATTCATGATATGACATCTTTAGCCCTGTCAATCAAGATTTATAAGTTTAAAATTTGAGATATGAAAATTTTCTTTTATTATCCGGGCACAATGGTATATCACAGTTTGACAAAAGTTAACTCTGAATATACAATGCCAATCCAAATTTGAAGAGCCTTGTCACACACGGGAATCACAGATGGGGAACAAGGCCAGATGTTAGATAATCCATGTGACACTAGCAGCGTGCATCAAGCTATTCCCTGCCTTGAGGCAACACAGATTAGGTTTACCATAACCTCCGACTACTCAATTTCCAGCAGATACAAAATTAACCCAAGCCAGGATACCAGATTTATTATCATTAGAAAGCTATACGATTTCCCTAGTTTGAAGAAGTGGGTTTACAATATATAGGGCTTTCAATCATATGCTGCTATGCATTTGGAGGTTAGGACTCCGTGTAAACCTCAATCGGAAGTTTTATTGAATGGAGTAGGCTATTTAATTCCATTTGGAAAGTTATGATAAAATGAATCCAAAAGTGGAGGCTAAATTTGATAGAAAGTTAACCTGATGAGCAACATATTGAACATCGGCCACACTTCCACTCCGTGAAGCAATTTGAAATGCGCTTTTTAAACGACCACAAACTACACAAGCAAGAACCTTCCTGCATGTCCAAATTAAAAATGAAATAAACATGTTAATGTGGTTACTGAATTACAAAGAAAAAGCTATAGGGAAGGCACATGGCATCACGTATCGAGCATTTGAGCTATATATAGATACAACGAGAGATAGTCTAATTATCTGATTCTCTTTTGAACAATGACAAAAATAACAACAGATATCCAAATATTTGTGCCTAAAGCTTTTTGGTGAATGAATAATAATTTATAATAATGATCAAAAAACAAATTTCTATATTAAAAAAAACCCAAATAACAACATAATTGAAAGTGCATGAAGAGTTATACCACAAAAAAAAAAAGTGCATGAAGACAAATAGATAAAGCCCTCACCTGTGGCTACTAGTTAACATGTCTATTAGACGGTCTGGACGTTCTTTATGCTTATTGGCATATACATTTATTGCAGCGCCCAAGACCTACACCATTCACGTGTTAGAAGCTGCTTAAAATTTCTTAAAGATAAGTTAACTTGTTATAAAATAAAGACATTTTTTTTTAGCTGTAACAAGACCAAGAATCACTAAAAATAAACCACAAACTCAAGTGATTAGAAAAGGCACATGATGTAGCCCATCACATCATAATTCCCTAACTTGTTTTGACATTATATAGCCCATGTCTATACTTGCCACAACCTCAGTTTGATGCTAGTTCACAGAGTCAAGTTTTACCATTAACAAAACAATATTAAATGAAATAAAAAAAAGCTGGTGGTGAGAACACCTTCTATCCTTATATGGTTTGGTGGTAATAGTCCACAAATGCATGTCCTCCCAGCAGGCCTAAGAAGCATCTCATTAAACTACAAACTAGGGGCAACACTCTTTCAAGATTTCTTTCCCCAAACTTCCAAGTTCATTCTCAACTTCATTAAGTAACTGTCTCTAGCATTAAGTTCTTGGCAGTTAAAGGTACTTTCCATGCACGGGGATTTCAGTTTACAACCAACATGGTCTTCCCAGCAATTCAATAAGCTTATACCAACTAAATACACTCTAAAAGAGTGCTAGTTATTTAACTTTCGAGCCATATTAAAACATTCAACTGAAATAAAACAAGCTCTATTCCAAGTAGAAGAGTAAAAGAGAATGTAATTAGATTACCTGGTCCCAGTCATCGTCATCTATTGTGCCCTTGATGTTTCTAAAGAATTCTGTCAATTGGCTGACTCTTTTTCTGTCAGCAAGAGATGCAGCAACACCAGCATATATATCAACAGCTGCATGATACAATTAAAAGACCAGGGTCAATCTGTTGAGTTGCTGACAGCACTTTGTGAAGCTAAAAAAACAACAAAGCTAAACCAGATTGTAAAGAGGAAATTATCAATGGTACCAGGAAGATTGAATTCATAGATCACTTGGAATGCCAAATCAAAATTCTTTTCAACAAGAATCTCTGCAATTTTACACCTTCGTCTGAAATTTAAAAAACATCATGAGCATTTGTAATAAATTGTCAAAATATAAAGCCATGCCACAATGGAAAAAACATTTGACTGCACGCAATAAGGACAGTGGAGAAATCCAAATGACACACTACAGCTAATCTTAGCAGTCGTTAAGAGGACTATAATGGTAATTGACCCTAAAATTATCAAAATAAAAATACTTTAAAGTTGTATATGAAAGTACAACATCAAAAAATAAGACGACAGATATAGCTTATAAGTTGTTTGAAAAGCCTCCATCTAAATACTTTTTTGTACACCATGGGTCAGTTTGGTGTCCCCAAAAAATGGGGTGAAAAATTCAGTATATTTTAAAAAAATTGTACAATATGCATCCCCAAATCTTTTACCAAAAATTTCAAGGGGATAACAAACTGGCTCCAAGAAAGAGAAATGGATGGTAAATATTACTAAGTAATTAAGCTTAACAATTAAACAAACCTAAAAGTTTCAGGATCATTTGGATTCCCAAAAAGTGAATGTTTCCATTGCGGTCCTTCTGAGTCATTAAAGGTTTTAACAACTTCAACCTACAAAATACAATAATTCCACAGAAATCTTGACGAATAAACATAGGATTTCACAAACAACTCTTATGAGGATGTATAAAATAGCATGTTAGAAATGTTAGAATAGGAAATATTAGATATGATTAGATTTGAATAGATTACTTCCTATCTGTAAATATTCTGAGCTAATATTTTAACTCTTTGTATTAGATTAATACACAATTGAATACAATATACCTTCTTACTTTTAAGTTGGTACCAGAGCTAATATTCTGGGAAACCTCGCTTCCGCATAAAACCCCTATGTCGCCGTGCATCATACCGGCAACCCTTTTTTCGCCCTAACCCTTAATTAATTGTTTTATATATCTCAACACAGCAGAAAATTTAAAGAAACTTATAAGCAGTCAAAAACAAGAAGCATACAGTCTATGGGAATTACTATGATGAGAGAGAATGCCATTTCAAATAAAAACTTCCCAACACAAAAATGTCTACAATTAAGAAATCACATATAGTCATAAACCAACCCTCCCCAAAACTTAAGTTGTTAAGAGAAGACACGCGAATAAATTCATATTATATCTCTAAGATACCCCTCATACAATAGCCATTTGGGTATGAAGCATAGACAATGCACAGGCTCACATACCATGTGCTGAAATTCAACTTCATATTACAAGAATAGGGCCAAAGGGGCGAACTGGAGCAGTGGTAAAACTGTTCCTTCATGACTGAAAGGTCATGGGTTCGAATCCAGGAAACAGCCTCTTTGCAATTATGCAAGGGTAAAGCTGCGTACAAGGATTTCCTCCACCCCACACTTGCTAGTCGGGTTTAACGGGGAGTGTTTTTTTTTTTTTTTTATTATTACAAGAATAGGGCCAAGAATGACTGAACACTAAATCACTTGGTCATAGAAGCTTTAATATCATGTCATGAACCAACTTTATCAAAAGCTAAAGCTCTTAGGTGAAGATGCATGAATGAATTATATTATATCTCTAACACATATTTGCATGCTTTCTCAAAGGCATGATAATGTCCTTATAAACAAGGGAAATCTCTAATGACATTAATTTTGAGTTCCAAAATTGGATTGCCAAGCTTGTTTTCATAAAATAATTATTAAACCACCACAATCTCAGTATTGGGTTTGGGTACTTTCAATTACCTGGATTGATACCCGAGCAGAAAATTTGACCAGACCTTCTTCGGTAAGCTTTTGAGAGGCACTTTTTCCTTTAAGACCTTTTGTGACAAGCTTGGTAGATTCTCCGCCTTTGTGCCTTGCGGACAATCCTTCATCAAAATGCATCTATACCAATAAGAAAAAAACACAGAATTATTAACATAAGATAGAGTAAGTGAAACAAGCTTTTGACAATTGATATATGAAAAGAAAAATAAAATATGCCTTTTAATGATTTGTTGTATTTTAAGATATTTTAACAGATAGGTTTAGGAGTGCAATTCTTTCTTTATTTACCTAGGCTATTTTTTTTTTCCTGTAATTTGACAGATCCTATTATGCTATTCAGGTACCAGATTTGGGTCCTAAGATCATAGGTTAAGATACCCAACACTTGTATATATTAGAACTCCCTATTGTAAAGGAAATTGGAGAATTCCATCATCTGATCCTGTATAAATTTAATATACTTCAATCCATATGAACCATACTTATTAATCTCAGATAACGGCGCGTAGCGGCTGACCCTCCAAACTGCTATAGTGCTATAGCGGGTAGCGCTACAACGCTACTGTGCAAAGTGTACCTAAGTGATACACTAAATTGTACTCCACAAATATAAAACTTAAAATATGAAAATGTGACATAAAAAACAAATTTGAAGGATCTCAAACTAAAACATAAATGATTTCAAACATTAAAATTCAAATCATAAGCAAATTGAAGGAATTAAATGTAACACAACAAAATAAAGTGACAAAATTAGTCAAAATTCAAAGTGCCACTTAAGTGAAATGTCAAAATCAAAGAACTTAAGGAACTAATCATAATTGAAATCATGAACATCCAAAACTTCATCTTTACTTTCATTTGTATCTAAGTTGTAAATCTCTTTCTTCTACGACGAGAACATTTTTGCAGAAACTACTGTAGCGGCGCAATATCGCCGCTACATCCGCTACACTTCGCCTGACCGTAGCGGCGCGGTCTGTGGCAGCCGGCCGTTGCACCGCAACGCAACTCCGCTATAGCGCGCTAAAGCGGGGCAATTCACTAAGTTCATATTTGATCACTTCTGCTCTTTTAAATTTAATATCCTTTCTTGTAACAAGGTGCTCAAAAGAGAGAAGAAAAACAGACATCAAATTTAATGTTCTTAGAGTTAAAAGAACGCAAATTAAAAAAAAAGGTTACTTCAGAAAAGTAATAAGTGATATCATTAAAAAAAAAAACATATTGATGTCTTGTGGGCACTCGAAAGTTACCATGCTATATCAAATTATCGGCATACCTTAGCATGTTCCAAATGTCCAACGGCTTCATCTTGCGATGAAGAATTCACAAACAACTGAATACAACAGAGTCCAGCAGCAACATGGTCCTTTTTAATTACCTGCATATTTTAGATCATTAGAAAAGCATAAACATCTGCCACAGAAAAATTGAAGAGAAAATGTCATAACACATTATATTCAAGCCCCATCAGTTGCGGTTATGAAAAATCTTGTTCCATGCAGGAAATGTAAGTTACACAATCATTTACCATAGAATTTTGATGCTATTATAACAAGTAATGGTGGTGATCACATAGAAAAACAATAACAAACTTAAAATTATATGGATGTTGATAGGAGAAGGACTACTAGTGATATTGGGAAGCCTAATGGTTGAATAATGACCTTAAACTCAATTCCCAGGAATGAGTTGAGAAAAGGTTGTTGAATCACAATGCGTATCGTGCATTGTTAGAGTATAATATAAATCATCAAAGAGGCCTTCACCTAATAGCTTAAGCTTTTGGGTTGAATTGGTTCTTTACATGGTATCAAAACTTCGGTGTCCCGGGTTCGATCCTCGTCGCCACCCATTTTCTTTGTGGAATTTCTTAGCACAGGTAGGCTTGGCCTGATGCATCATCCACCTTTCAAGTCTAATGAGCTCTTTTGTGAGGGGTCGTGTTAGAGTATAATATAAATCATTAAAGAAGCCCTCACCTAATAGCTTAAGTTTTTGGGTTGAATTGGTTATTTACATGTATCATTAGGCTATTTTTTTATCATGAATCGTATCGAATCATAAGATTCACAAACATAATATAAATATATAATGTCAAATAAGAAGTATTTTAAGCCTCCAATTTCTCTCCTTTTGTCTGTACTATAGCTCTTTGAAAACTTCTCTAAGAGAGACTGTTTTCGTGTACGCAAGTCTCTGTTTTTTCAATATCACATTTTTTTCAAGACCGAAGAGATTTGTATTAATTTGAAATTTTTTTTGATTGTTTCCCTAAATAACTGTGACTTTCATATTCATTTTTGAATTTGAATCACATATCATATCTTTGTTTCCTTTCCCTAATTAATAGTGACTTTTCAGATTTTTTGAATTAAAAATTTAAAATCTTGATTTGATTTTAGAATCGTAAATTGTGATTCATGATTTAATACAAGACCAATTCCGATACAGGCAACCGATACATATCGCTCAGCTTTTGTATCGTAATGCACGATAAGTATCGTGTATCGTGCAATACTAACAACTATGGTTGAGCGAGATCACTGGAAAATGCGGCTAAATTGAACAATGCATCTTTGTTAGGCAACCTCCCTTTCTCTAAGATTTCCCCTCTCAGTAGAGATATTTTGATATGAAACTTGGGAGAGTCTCACCCCGAAAGCTAGCTTGTAAGGTAGGAGAGCCCAAAGTCCATATAAACCCCACATTATAACCTTATGTTTCCGATCTAGGATTCCAAGTCCCATACCTTGCGCAACTGTATCGTAACATCCCACCACGCTCCGCAACCACAACTCCCACGTGATCTATAGCTTGGTGCTAGCTTTTTTACTAGCTCTGGGTGAACACTGAGTCACTAGTCGCTTCGCTTAATTGCAACTGGGAGACATAGTGGAAGCATTGATACAAATTGATACGAACCTTGGGAGAGCCTCATCCTAAAAGCTAGCTTGTAAGATAGGAGAGCCCAAAGTCCATATAAACCCCACACCAGAACCTTTTGTTTCTGATGTGGGACTCCAAATCCCATACCTTACTACTAGGTCATAACATTTCCATTTTGCAAACTCCATTTGGAAATCCAAAGTCATCTAAAAAATTGAGTTTTATCTAGTAAATGATTCTCTATAGGGATTAACACTAACGCTTGGTGCATAATAAAAGCCACAAAAAAACACTTCCTTGGAATATATTAATTATGTATAACATGAGTATTGAAATTTTTATTCATTTGTTTTTGCATTGCCCAGCAGTCGCTAACATCCAGAATGAGACATTTTGGGAGAACATAGGGCTATATCATTGCTTATTTGATAAATTTTTGTGGAGTAGCTTAGAGGATGAGTCTTTGTGAAATGATAAGGTTGCTACAGGACCCAAAATAAACGGGACAAGGGAAATACAAAACTAAGAAAATAAGAAAAAACAAACGCTGTAGGACCCACAAAGAAGCCAAGCATAGTACTCTAAAATGTTATTTGTGTTCCAACAAAAAATGGGCAAACTCGGTGCTCTCCAAAGATAGAAAAAAGGTTACTCCCTAGAAATTTTTAGTCCTGCTTCTAATTTTATCACAACTCATTAAGTAGAAAAAATTACCTGAAACCTGTATAAATAATTGAAAAGCTTGTGAGTTTCGCAATAGAGGCAAATACGGGCAAGGGCTGTTGCTGTATAGTGATTCACCACTGCATCCTGTGATTTAGCTGAAGACATTCTAGTTGAAATAACTTCCTCCAAAATAGGAATAGCACCATAACAAATACACAATTCACACAGATCATCGATCGTCCCATAATCAGTCGCCAAAGAATCTAGTCTTTGGGGAGATGAAGATGACACTCCACTCATGGTTGATGGCTGTGGTGGTGGTGGGACAGCGTCAGGAGGAAAGAACAATAAGCAACCATCACGGTAATGACCATGCCTAAACATAAAACCAAGCAAATGCTGACGTGCATACTGCAAAGTTTTAAACAAGAATTAGGAAATCCAAAGGTTACAAACAAATTGCAAAAGATAGGAAGCATTTTAAACCATAAACTTCAATATCATCTTTATCCAAAAACTAGTTGGGGTCAGCAGTCGATAAATCCAAATAAAAGCAACAACAGATTGATGGATAATAAGGAAAAAATATAGTAATAGTAATAATAAATAAATAAATAAAACATACAAAGAATATACCCCTCCACAATGCTAATAGTTTTTCTTCACTCCATCTTAAGACAAGCCGTATGCCAATTTATTTTCCACTCCATTAAGTCTTGTTTTACTATTTTTCCCTTGATATGTTTCGGTCGACCTCTTCCTTTCTTTATACTAAAAATATACCAAAATCATAATAACAAAACTGTTGAGATATATAAAATTATTAATGTAACCTCACCCAATAGCTTAAGCTTTTGGGTTGAATTGGTTCTTTACATGGTATCAGAGCCTCGGTGAACCAAGTTCGATCCTCACCACCCCCCACTTTCTTTCTAGTGGAATTTCTTTCTTCGCATAGGTAGGTGGGCCTGTGCATTGTCCACTCTTCGAGCCCAGTGAGCTCTCGTGTGAGGGGGCGTGTTGAGATATATAAAATTATTAATGTAACCTCACCCAATAGCTTAAGCTTTTGGGTTGAATTGGTTCTTTACAAAAACATATGTAAAACAAAAACCTAAAATGGAATTAGAACTTCTTTTTGTTTTAAGACCAAAAAATGCAATGCAGAAAATATACAGACTTGCTATAAAAACCCAATATTGTATGATATACACTCTTCAAACTGATGCGTAGCTAATTAATTTGACAAAAGATTAAGCAAAATGTTAAATTATGAACGTTTTCATGAGCCAATTATTTGCAGATAGGGTAGAGTTATGTTCACCTCTTGTAAGTAATTAACACATTCAGTGTATCTAACATTATCCAGGTTACTCCGAGGACCATCTTCAAAGTCTTGACTATATACAGAATTATTATTTGTAGATACATGAGATCGTCTTGATCTCTCCGAACGAGGAAATGTTGATGGCATGTATAAGATGTTGAGATATGAATCAGCAGAAAGAGAATCATCCAAGATTGTGGGCGCACTTTTAGCCAGATGTTCATACCTGAAGCAGAAATATAATTAGATGCTGTTTCTGTGCAATGACCAAGATCTAAAGGTGTCTTCACTTCCTAATTTTTCCCCTTGGTTTCTTTCCTTTTCCGGCTATTCCAGAAAAAATTGCAAGCAACAATTTCAAAAAATTAACCAGCTTGATCAGTCAGAAGTCAAAGCACAAACATATTTAGGTTTTTAGTAGAGTACAGGAAAGCCTGTGATTAGACATCAGATAACCTTCTGCTCAAATATCTACCCTAGCCAGCCACGATTAGGTACAAAAGAAGCAGAACTCCCGGCAATATCCAGTTACTCAACCATCTTGTTCATGACAACAAATGTTAACGAGTCTCACCAAAGAAAGTTGATTATCCAAATATCAAAGCAAGATCTCTAACCAAAAGATAAAACAATATAAATTTGAATAGGAAGAACAATGCAAATAATTAATTCAAATATTAGACATTATGACACTTGAACAAAATTGGTCTAGCTTATAGCCTTATAAGTTATAACAATAAAAACCTAAAAGACAACTATCATAAATGGAAAACATCTTACATAGAACGAACAGCTGAAACATCAACCGGTGGGCCACCTTCAATAGTATTAATAATCTCTAAAATCACAGGTCCAGGATCACCCTTGTGCAACTGAAGAGCTTGCCTGAAATGAAATAGATATAAATTATTTAATTGGACTCAAATCCATGCTCCCACCGCCTTTCACTAAAAAATATGATTTCAAGCTTTAAAAAAACTGATCTCAAGAATTATCACCGAAAAAAATAAAATTCACATACTTAAACTTCACACGAGCTTGTCCGTAGCGCTCCATCCGAATTAATGCATGACCCCATGCATTCCACACAGGGAAGACATCAATCTAAAAGAAGGGAAATATTTTTTTTTTTAAACCTACATTAACTGAAATGTAGCAGTTCTAGTAAATAAAAGACTGACAGGTAATTTGCCTACCTTACACTTTTTGCAGGTATACACAGCCATGCTGTAGCGTTCTTCCACAACCAACCTATCACGGAGATGGGCAGATGACTCTCCATCAGCAATGTCATCAAGAGAAGCAGCAATACCTGATCCCAAAAGGCTTTGGAGAAGCTCTGCACGTCCCAGCCAAACATCTGCCTGTGATAGGATTTCAGATAGTTCATCTATCGATTGACTACCCATACTAGAACTGCCAGCATCAGATGATGTGTCATCAGCATCTCTATTTCTCTCAGAATTAGTTGGCAATTCACTACCACCTGTGAGCTTTCTTAGCAGGGACTTGGCATATAGTAGACCCTGGAAATGCAACATAGAATTATTACATTTTTCATTGCAAGAAAAATGCTAATGATGGCAATTTAAAGCAAATAAACACATGGCTTAAGACTCATCATTATTAACCACTGACAATAACTATAATCAATAAATTACTCTGTTTCCATTAAATACCTGCACAAATGTTTCTGTGGCATGATATGCTCGCCCAATTGTCTCCATAGATGCATTCTCAGGCAACTGCTGAGAGCTCAAGACATTCTTCATTTGATTAATGCACAAATCAAGGGCGACTTTGGCAGAGACTAATTCATCAGAACAAAGAGCAAGCAGTGCCTACAAAGGGAAAACCCAAGCATTCAGCAAAGACAAAATGATATTTATAAAAACAGTACAGATACGCCTATGAAGCCACTAAGTGCAGAAAATTACGATCAAATATTTCCGTTTTTATTTTCTATTAGTTAATGGATAGGATTAATGACTCATTGCTGAGTCATCCTTATCTATCTTTTCTCATTCTCTCTTGTATAAATCTCCCTACAGTGAAAATCATTAGTATCAATTCAGAAAAACACAATTCTTTTATATTTCAATATGGTATCAAGAGCAGGTTCGTTCCTAGTACCTTAGATCAGCCATCTTTAAGGCTGAAACACCATCAAAATTGCCCAACTTCTGCCCAAACCCAGAAACCATATCTACATACCTCCAATTGAGAAGGTGGAGTGACCATTCAACGACCATTCAACTCAGAAGGCTCCGACAAGTCGAACGCCACCCATCACCATTAGCCACCACACGCACCTCCACACGCGCGACCATTCACCGGCGTGTGTAGCTCATGCGCCACCTTCCCCGCATCTTTTTTGCCGCGACCTGCTCAGAACCACTCGCCACCTTCTCCTCTACCTGTTTCAGAGGTCAGATCTGCAAAAGGAACAACTTGATTTTTTGGGTCAACGGTCAAATCCTCTCTCTTCTTTCATGGCATCCTAAGATCGTTCTTCCGCTTGCTCATCTGCCCATAATATTCAGTCCTCTGGAGACAACTTAGCCATGCAGATCACTAATCACCGGTTGAACGGTAAGAATTTCCTACAATAGTTTCAATATGTTAAGTTGGTCATCCGGGCGATGGGAAAGATGGGTTATCTCGACGGGAAAATTAAAAAATCTGCCGAGGATGCTTCTGAATATGAAAAGTGGGAGATTAATAACTCCTTGGTAATGGCAAAAGCTGACCAATTCCATGGAACCCCAGATCAGCCGGACCTATTTGTTCCTCGATACCGCCAAGGAGATTTGGGATGTTGTTCAACAAAATTATTCCGATCTAGAAAATACCTCTCAAGTCTTTGAACTGAAAAATAAGTTGAAAGACTTACGTCAAGGAGATATGACCATAACTGAATATTTTACTGCACTAATAAATTTATGGCAGGAACTGGATCTTCATTATGCATCCGACCTCAAAGGATTGGAAGCTAATACCAGTTTAAAAAACACTTGGAGAATGAACGACTTTATGACTTTCTTGTTGGCCTCAACCGAGATCTTGATAAGGTTCGTGGTCAAATATAGGGACAGAGACCGTTACCTTTACTTGCTGATGCATTTGCTGAGGTTCGGAGAGAAGCTAGTAGACAGAGAGTTATGCTGGGAGAAAAGAAATCAATTGATAAGTCTGATGATATGTTTGCATTGGCTGCCAAACATACCATTGACCGTTCTTCTGGAGAATCAAAACGGGATGGTCGTCCATGGTGCACCCACTGGAATAAAATTGGTCATGCCCGTGAAAAACGTTAATAAATCCACGGGAAACCAGCAAATTGAAAGCCAAAAGGGCATAATAAAGGTTGTGCATATCAGGTTTCTACTGATGACAAGGTTGAAGAACCTCGTGCATCCTCTGACTATGATGGTGTGTTTCTCAGCAAGACTCGATTTGAACAACTTCAGAGACTTCTGACTCAACCTCCTAAGGCCACTATTAATATGGCTTAACAAGGTACAACTTTCCATATTGATAGTTAAAATCATTGGATCCTTGATTCTAGAGCCTCTGACCATATGACAGGTAATCCGACCTTGTTTTATTCTGACACTCCACACTATGAACCCTCTCGAGTCAAGATCGCCGATACCAATTTCTCCCAGATTGCAGGATACAGAACCGTTAAACTTTCTGAGCAGATTAATTTAACATCAATTCTTCATGTTCCTTCTCTGGCTTGCAATCTCATTTCCATTAGCAAACTAACTTCTAAGTTGCATTGTTTTGCTAAATTCTTTCCACATGGTTGTGCTTTTCAGGAACAAGACTCGGAGAGGATGATTAGCAATGCTAGAGAGGATGGTGGACTTTACTACTTTGAGGAGGATGTGACTCATGAAGCTGTTTTTGTGGAAAAAGAGACTGTTTCCTGTTGATTCATGTAATGATGTTATGCTGTGGCACCATAGGCTAGGTCATCCCAATTTTACCTATTTTCAGAAGTTGTTACCAAACTTATTTATTAATAAAAGTCCTAATTTGTTTTTTTGTGATATTTGTCAACTTGCCAAGTATACTTGTGTTCATTATCCTTCTAAAGTTCACCATGACTTTTCCCCATTTTCTTTAGTTTATAGCGACATATGGGGTCCAGCCCGTTTTAAGAATATTTCAAGTGCTCGATAGTTCATTACCTTCATTGATGACCACTCCCGAGTTTGTTGGGTATACCTTCTAAAGGATAAGTCAGATGCTGCATCCTTTTTTAAAAAATTCCATGCGATGGTTCAAACTCAATTCTAAGTTGCTATACCAATTCTTCGTATAGCTAAAGGCAAAGAGTATTTTAACTCTATTCTTGGAGAATATCTCTCACAACATGACATCCTTTCCCAAAACTCATGTCCTGACACTCCAACAAAACAGAGTTGTAGAAAGAAAAAACTGATATCTCCTTGAAGTTGCTTGGGCTCTTATGTTCACTATGAGTGTTCCTAAATACCTTTTGGGGGAAGTCGTTGTCAATGCCTCGTACCTTATCAATTGAATGTCATCTCAAACTCTCAACTTTCAGTCTCCTTTTTCTAGCCTTTTTCGCACCTTCCCTTCCTTCCGAGGCATCTCCTCTCTACCTCCCAAATTGTTTGGTTGTGTCGTATTTGTCTTATTCCCTCTGATCAATGGTCCAAGCTTGATCAGAGGTTTTTAGGAACACTCATAGTGAACATAAATAAGTCTCTCCGGTGTGTCTTCATTGGTTATTCTCCTACTCAACGTGGTCATAAATATTATTCACCCTTTCTTCGTAAAGTCTTTGTCTCTATGGATGTCACCTTTTCTGAGACTCAACCTTTCTTTCCCATGACTTCTCTTCAGGGGGAGTCTATAGGAGCAGATGAAGATCAGTCATGGGAACCTACTGATGCCACAATATTACCTCTACTATTGGAAACAGGGGGAGCTACAAAATCCTCACCATCAGATCCTCCTCAAAGTGGAGACAAGTTTATAGCAGGCGAAAGCCTCCTCAAAGTGTGAATAACTCAGAGCCTCTACACTGCCAGCATTCTGAACCAAGTTCTAGTTCCAACACCCCGACACTTGAGTGCCATGACGAAAATGATCTATACTTGCCCATTGCTCTCAGAAAAGGTACTCGATCTTGTACTACTCATCCTATTTCTAATCATATTTCATATAAAAAGTTGTCCCCAGGGTTTCGTACTTTTAATACTATGTTGGACAGTTCAAAGATACCGAGAAATATACATGAGGCTCTCAATGATCCAAAATGGAGGGATGCTGTCTTTGAAAAAATCAATGCTTTATAAAGAAATGGAACTTGGGAGATAGTGACCCTACCAAAGGGAAAACATAAAGTAGAATGCGAATGAGTGTTTTCAATAAAATTCAATACAAATAATAGCATCAACAGACACAAGGCAAGATTGGTTGCGAAGGGGTTCACCCTGACTCATGGGATAGATTATCATGATACTTTTGCTCTAGTTGCTAAGGTCAATACCATCCGAGTTCTCTTATCACTTGTTGCCAACCTAGATTGGCCTCCGCGATAGTTAGATTTGAAAAATGAGCTAGGTCTATATGGATCCTCCACCTGGCTTTAAAAAGGAAGATGGATCAGTGTGTAAACTAAAAAAGTCTCTCTAAGGGTTAAAACAGTCTCCTAGAGAATGGTTTGAAAAATCCACACAAGCTGTCAAAGGAAGAGGCTTCACTCAAGCACAGTCTGATCATACTCTCTTCCACAAACACTCTAAGGATGGTAAAATTGTTATTCTTATTGTGTACGTGGATGACATAGTTCTTACAGGTGACGATAGTGAGGAATTGAACTCCTTGAAGAAGTATCCAGCAACTTAGTTTGAACTAAAGGACCTTGGAACTATTAAATATTTCTTTGGCATGGAAGTTGCTAGGAGCAAAACGGGCATTACTCTAAAAAAAAAAATGTTCTAGATCTTTTGCTGGAAACAGGAATGCTAGGGTGTAAGCCTGTCGAGACACCTGTGGAACCTAATACCAAGTTAGGTATTGAAGATGGGAACGGGGTGGATAAAGAGCAATATTAGAGATTGGTTGGCAAACTAATTTAAATATCCCACACGCGACCAGACATTGCCTTTGAGGTGAATATGATTAGTCAATTCATGCACTCATCCAAGGAGAAACATCTAAGTGCACTATATAGGGTGCTTAGATACCTCAAGAACACTCTAGGCAGAGGAATATTTTTTAGAAAATGGTATAATAGGACAATTGAAATCTACACTGATGCAGATTGGGCAGGTTCATCAGTGGACAAGAGATCTACCTCGAGTTATTGCACCTATGTGTGGGGAAATCTTGTTACTTGGAAAAGAAAAAAGCAAACAGTGGTTGCAAGAAGTAGTGCTGAAGCAGAATTTCGAGCTTTAGCTCATGGAGTTTGTGAAGGAATCTGGTTGAGAAGTCTTCTTAAAGACTTGAAAATCTTATATTCCCTACCAATAAAACTATATTGTGACAACAAGGCAACTGTCAGCATTGCTCAAAATCCTGTGCACCATGATCAAACAAAGAACATGGAAATTAATCGCTACTTCATCAAAGAAAAATTAGATGATGGAAGTGTGCGTATGATGTATGTTCCTACCAAAGAACAGAATGCAGATATCTTCACCAAGGGCTTACACCGTCCAACCTTTGAAGACTTGATTGGCAAGTTGAGAATGATCAACATTTACATCCCAACTTGAGAGGGAATGTAGGAAATTAGGATTAGAATATTTTCTTTTTATTTTCTATTAATTAGTGGATACTTTTTTTATTATTAATTAATGGATAAGACTAATGACTCATTGCTGAGTCATCCTTATCTATTTTTTCTCATTCTCTCTTGTATAAATCTCTCTATCAATGTAAATCATTAGTATCAATTCAGAAAAAAATAATTCTTTTATATTTCAATACGAAGCAACTACAATGACTTTGGTTATCAGTAGCCAGTGACTCCCAAGTCCCAATTACAATGGCTTCAATTTTGTCAGAGCTTAGAAATGCAGAAATATTCCTTAAAGCAACAAAGCAATAGCACTAAATTTTCTATAAAATATCCTACCACAATTATTAAATATGAATATCAACCCATTACTATACCTTGAACAGTGTAATGTCAGGGGCGCTTTCATATCTGTGAGATGAACGAATGCTTTCATCTTTTGGTGGGTCACCTGTAAGCATCCATTCCTCAGCAATTGAGACGGAAGGAAGCCGCTCTTGCCCATCTGTTGAAAAAGATGAAATACGGTCCTCTTGAATTCCAGCCATTGCTTCCCAAGCAACTCTATCAGAGGGGGATAATCCAGAACTTTTTCTTTTCCTATAAACATCTTTTGGAGCATTTTTGTCCACAGTATTTTTTGGAGCCCATGAAAAAGCTCTTCGAGCCTCTTTCTGTAAGTTACTTAAACTGCTCGTAAAAGACAACCTTGGCGGGGCTCCTGGTCGTGCCTTCTGCTTTGGTCTTGATCCGGAAACAGAGATGCGATGTTCCCTAGGAGGCGAGCTGATACTGAGAGCAATAGCCTTAGCTGCATATGTAGTAATTACATTGTTGTCTCGTAAAGAAGGAAATTCCTTTAATATCTACAGAAATAAAGGCAAAAATAACATTGTATATGAGTAATAAGCAACCTAGAGGATTAAGGAAAATGATGTGTAAAAATAATAGGAAAAACTGGCCATATATGAGACAAAGGCATCCCTAATGCTTCACTATCAATACTTCCAAATAATTAGTAAATGGAAAATAATGCATGCTAATGAAAGCATCAAATTAAAGTTAAAATTACACTACCAGTGTAGCAGATTGCAATTGTTTCCTCATGAGTAGCACTTCCAAAATCAGATGAGGATGCTCATGCAGGGAAGAACACTTTTGCTGCCATGGCACTGGCAAGACAGAGAGCACACGAAGCCCTAAAGCCCATGAATTAAGCCTAGAAACCTCGATATCCGACAGATTCCCTTCTCTCCGCTTCAGGAAGAAGTGAACCTTCAAATAATGCATAGTAATCATCATTGAGATGAGGATGGAATTTCAAAAGTCCATATAGTACAGTTCAAAGCAATTTATATCATTAAACAGGGAAAATATATGCAAGATAAATGAGTGATTACAAGAAGTTGCTTTGACCGCAAATTGGGCAAAAGCTGCATTGCACCCATAACAACAGGCAAAGCATCATCTGTGTCCCGTAATGAAGAAAGAAAGCGTGAGGCTTCAGCCGGTCCTCCACCACTAAGTGGGTCAGCTGTCAGAAGCTTCACAAGCTGCCGCCCCTGCAACTCTCTCCGTAAATCAATTGATAATGCTGCACTTTCTGCCACTTCTAGTGCTGCAGAAACAGCTCCTTTTCCAGCTAATCTAAGTGCCAGCCCCTCTGGATCTTCCTTGCAATCAGCTTCAACCTGAAATACAAAGATTTTTTAAGGAAGACATGAGTTATCAAAAGGGAAAGGAAAATTGATAAAGAGAAATATATTTCTATAAGCTAGTATATTACTGATATATCATCTACATGCCGTTTTCATTGAAGCTCGTATCCACAGATAATATAAACTTCTGGAGAAAAATGATAAAACTGGCATAGCATTTGTGCATTAGACATGTAACAGTTCACAGAAGAGAATACAACCTCTCGCCAGCTCGTATAATGATCATCTGCACTTAATATGTGGCTGTACCTCTGCAAAGCTTGTTTCATTTGCAAAACCTAAGCATTACAATGAATAATGTCATTTAAGAACAAAAATATGCATTGCATCAATAAAGGTACAAGTAATCATACCAATACAGATAGGGGCATGAAGTAAAAAAAACAATATACCAAGGGTACAGGTATGGTATAGTATATTATGTAGAAATATAAAAACCAAAGATAAAAGTGATAGAAATCAAGAACCAGCGGGAAAGTGATAGAGACCAAGAGAAAATGAAAGAAAACTTAGTGATGCGGGAGCAAATATACTAAGTTTGATTAGAAGAGATCAAATGTTAAGCGGTTAAGCCCAAGTGATGCAAATTCGTGTACCAGCTTCAATGCGCAATTTCAATTGGGTTCCAAGTTGTTTTAGGACAAATTATGCTTAGTTGGCTCCCTTAAGGGTCAATTATGAAAGATGGTAAAAAGAATAAGCATTAATGCTTAAGTTAATTAGAACTGGACATATAATTGTTGTATTTCCAAAGCAATATAACTCTTGGGAGTTGTTATTAATTATTATATTTCCTAAGCAACACAAATCTTGGGAGTTGTTATTAATTATTATACTAGAATGATATCAAACTCATTGGAATGCATGACCAAGATGTACCCAAAGGTATTTAATAGAGAAATTTAAAGAACAAAAATGTATACTTGCTTAACCAACAAGTACCTATATAGGATAAGTACTCATGGATACAGCAACCATTTAAGGGTATCCATGCATCATACCATACTGGGAATATTGATATAGCAATAGAGTAGTAAAAGAAGAAAAAGTGGTAACTTGAGCACCTCTTTCCTTATAGAATCATTCTGAGGCAGATGGCAGCTGCACATTGTAAGAACATCCAAAGCAGCATCTAATTCCCATGTGTGCAAATACCTATGATAAAATTTTGAAATTTAAAAGTGACATCACAGGCTGAGACAAATGCTGGATATCTCGATATAATAATGAACTTAATTATAAGCATGCTACAAATGAAGAAAAAACATGGAAATTGCACAGACCCACTTCACCTTGTGTTGAAATTTAATTTAACTATGAAAAATGAGGTGGCAAGAATTGAATTCCGGACCATTTGGTCATAGAGGCTTAGATACAATGTTAAGAATCTAACTCTCCCAAAAACTTAAGCTGTTAGTTGCAAGTTAAGGGGTGGTTTCATGTCTCTAACAGAAGGAATTGACAGTCACAAGAATAAACCATTTACCAGCTATATAAATTTATTTCCCCCAAAATCATGAAAATGAAAGGATTTGCAAACCTCAGTGCAAGTCTAGCTGCCAGCTTTTTGTCTTTCAACCTTAGGCAATACTGCCAACTATTGCTCCAATTATTATGCCCTCCAAATCCTTGATGTTGTGCAGAATTTGGATGGATCTCTTCTGCACGTTCAATGATTAGCTGAAGAAGCTGATCGGAGGCCCCATTACGTAGAAAGCGGTCAGAAAGTGCAAGAGCATCCATTAGCTTTCCTTCATCAATTAGCCTATAGTAGAAGAAGAAAGAACACTCTGTAACATGAAAATTGCTAAGGAAAGACAATTCACAATTATTTACGGCTCCAAAACTATTGAACAAAGAAAAAACAAGAATATTAAGAAATCTGGTACAGACAAAGATCATGATTCAAAAGTATGGGTGTTTGCTACTCTTCTCGTTATCTATCTCAAACAACACCATATTAAAAAAGAGGTCTAACAATTGCAACTTCAACATCTTTATCCCAAAATAGTTGGGATCGGCTGTGGATGAATCCAAATAAAAAGCAAGAAAATATTAAGGGAAAAGAAGAGGAGAAAAATAATATAAAAAAAAAATAGATAAAAGAGAAAAAAAATAAGAGGGAAAAAATTAGATAGGAAGATAAATAAATTAAAAAATATAGGGAAAAATGACTAAAAATAGACTGTCTGGAACATAGGAAAAAACAGGTCTATCCTTCCACAGTGCTAATAGTTTTCCTCCACTTCATCCTAAGACACACAACTTGCCAATTTATTTCTCACTCCATTATGTCTTGTTTTACTACTTCTCCCCAAGTAAGTGTAGGTCGATCTATTCCTCTCTTCACGTCATGCTCTTGGTAACCAACTTCTTTATGAACAATATGTCCAAACCATCTTAGTCTATATTCTTTCATCTTTTCAGCCACCAATACTACTCATACCTTACGTCGAATACATTCATTTCTTATGTAGTTCATCCCTGTATGACCACACATCCACCTAAATATCCTCATTTTCGCTACTCCCATTTTATATTCATGTTGCCTATGCTTACCAACATTCAACTTCCTATAACATTGTAACTGAATCAACAAAAAGTCCATGTTTAAACCATTCAAAGTTCAGATCAACATGAGTGAAGCTAAATTACAAAAATAAATAATCATTAATCACTAATATGAAGTAAAATTGATGAAACAATGTATGCGTACATCTTATTTGCTTTGATCACACCAAGTTGGCCACATTCTAATGCAAGTGCAACGAAACTTAATGAGAGAAAAAAAACTACAGTTTTAACAACAATTTGAACTATAATACCGTTCCACTGCCTTCTCGTATGGTTCTTCGTTATCCCAATCAAAAGAAAGGAAAACTGTGGTGTCAAGTCGAGCAGCTTCAGATTTTGAGGATTCATGCCAGAAGTCTACGGTTTCAACCCCTTGGCTATTTAGGTCTGTCAGAGCTACAGGGATTGTACTGCTACTAGCAATGTCATCAGCATCCGACTCTGCCTCAGTGTCATGTTCACGAACTCTCTTAACAGAAGTTCTTGCTTCAATGTTACCATCATCAGCTGTTGGATTAGCAGTTATAGCAAATTCTGAAACTCGATGCAGGTTAGTTTGCATTTGTATCCATCTGTTCAAAGTTGGGAACCTGTACATCAGGAGAAAAGGTTAAAGTAATTATTTAATAATACTAACTGATGTCATGCAACCCCGGTGGCTTAATTTTGTTAGTAAAAGAATTTATAAAGGAAAAGATGAGAAGTACAGAGAAAGTAATCGTCTTAAAATGAAAGTCCCTTCCTAATTCCAAAGAGAAACCACCCTCTCCCCCCGACCACCAAACAAAAGAATAAAGGGCAAAGAGCCATATGCTAACATGAGATTTGAACTAAGAAATGTCTGGTGAAAATTTTTGCATTATGCACCACCAATAAGCACCAAAACCTCACAAAGAGGGGGCATTTGTGAAGGACCATAAATTCTTTCCTTCTACCAAAGCCTCAAAAACGAATGGAAGAAGAATTTGCCAGAGGCTGGAAAAACCCATTCTTCATGAACTAATTCCAAAATGCCAATTTCTTTCTTGCTTCCAGCTTAATATTAAATACTTTTAATCTTATCTATTTAAAATTTATGAAAGAATTGTCTTGAAAAAGAAAAACTTCATTAAAAGTAAAAGCTTATATGATAACCTGCTAAAATATTCTTAATCGATATATTCTAACTCATACATTCTTCATCATATAAATAACCTATACATGTATTTGTCAAAAACAAAGGTATACATAAGAAAATACATATTGATGACCAATCTATAGAAAAAAGAAAGATGTCAATAATATCAAAATGAATAAATTTTTTATATATCTATGATAATATTAAGATACAGACTAAATATTGTTTCCTTTAAAACAGTTCAAAAGAAACACATATATATGACATTATGACTGCCATTGCCAACCAATACACATGTATAGGGTATGCTACCTTTCAGATTGATCAAGAGCAAACTCATAAAACAACCGATCTGCATCCGGAGCCTGCAGTAATCCATCACTTAAGGAGCTTGAAATTGAAGAGCTACTGCTGCTGTACAGTATACTACTCCCGAATACACATGCTAAGACAGCCCTCACTGGGGATATTTTTGCCAAATGTTTCACCACATCCAACTGGAGAGGGTATAAAGCGACTCCAGGTGTCGCTGAAGAACGGCAATAGCAATTAGGCTTTGCATCTTTAGATGATGGAGACAGTATTTTATTTTCAGAGCTGCTCTTAGGGAAAGTAGGAACAACTGGAATGCATGCCCATCCATGTCCAGATCGCGGAGGATAAACAGGAGGCACACATGCAGAAATCACCTCATGTACAAAATCAGCACACAAAATTTCAGCTACCTTCCCAGCTGCATCAGTACTGCCCCTTTCAAAAACAAGACGGGTCAAAAGCTGCAAAATAGAACAATAAAACATAGTTGGTTAATAGAAACCAAGATATGCTCATCACATAAAACATTCAATCTTCATGAAGATTTCTAAATGGCAGCAAAAAGGGAGATCCAGTGCATGAGGCTCCATCATTGTGAGGTTCGGGAAGAGTCAAAGATATGCAGTCTTACCCCGAGGGTGGAAAGGCTATTTCCACAAATAGAACCCATAACTACCAGATCACAAGGCAGCAATGCCTCGCCCTCCATTTCCAAAACCCTAACTAAATCTATAAAAAAAATAAATGAACATGTAATTTTTTTATCAAAATAGGTGGTAAACTTTGTCAAATGTGAGTGTGATGCAATGGTTGCATAGAGGTAAATACAAATATGTTGTTGCTATTGAACACATACAATAATAAATACATGGATTTTACTTTATCAAAAAATAAGAACATATACTTTTCCCAAAATTTTGCAAAATTCTTATGTGTTTCCACAATTGCAGTGCAGAGGGGTAAAAGAGATATATGAACAATATCTTCATATTATGAAAATAGATCAGCTGTCATGTGCAACAGAAACTGGCTTAAGATACTCATAATCATGGAAATTGTTGTCTATAATCAAACACTGTCAAATAATTCAAATATTTTGAGAACCTTACATCCTTAGGCCACTCATAAATGACAGAGAAAAAGTTAAAATCATGAGTAGTATCAGTCCCATCAACTATGTCGCCAATCGCAGCAACATGAAGAATGAATTGTGACAGGTATGTCATAGGTTTGGCACTCAAGGGAGCAAATATTATCTTCCCAGAATCTTTAATGTTGTAACCAGAAGACTGCAGACCAGTTTCTCCTCCAGTTGAACTTGAAGGTGTTTGTTTAACAACTCTTAACCCAAACCCAAGTACAATGTCCTTGTCACTGTTAGAATTAACACCCCGATCAGCATACAATCCTTCACCTCTAGTAGTACTTGGTTCGGTTTCTTCATCAGCGACAGCTCTTGCAAAGTTATGAAGCTTACCTGATGAAGTATAAAAAATGTTATAATCATAGAAGTAGCACATGACAGGCATAAACTCTACCCCATTGTTTGAATTTTAAAAATAAATAAAGGAATAAAATGCCCATAGAAAGATGTTCACTTTTTTGCAAATGACAAAACTATTAAAATGCCTAAAGAAAAAAGAAAAGAGGTACCACTCAAAAACTGTCGCTTGCCAATATGAGCATCTTCAATCATCTGATGTAACAGAGCAAAAGCACGCTCCCTCTGCTCTTGCCGGTGGGACTCTTTTGATGATGTGATGACAATTTCCCCAGATAGGATTGCCTGAAGTGCTGGAGGGTTGTCCTAGAGGAGAAAATCATATTAACATCATATTGTAAATAAAAAAAGATTAATTATGTAATTATTGTATATTGATTTTCTTTTGTTATTAGGACAGAATTGTTTCCTATTTGTTTCAGAGTTAAAGGAGTGCAGAGTCTTCGGTTGTGATTCTTGATGAAAAACCCACTAATGGGTCAATCATGACAACAAGAAAGTCCCGCTAAACAGCCCCTTCATCCACCTCCTCCAAACCCAATAAAGATGAACATCGATGTAGCCATTGCAGAAATTAGTTCATGGTTCAAGGTGTGGAATTTTGAAGGTTTATTTAACAGAGATAATAGATTATTATGCCCTTTAATTAATTATTATAGGTTCTAGAGGCTCAATTTTCGTGTTGATAATAGGATAATTGATTATCCTAGAACCAATTGGATCATGAACTCCCCATTTTGGTTCAAATTGTAATGTTAGAGAAATATAATATAAAATATGAAACCATTAATGTGCATTCACCTAACAACTTAACCTTTTGAGTTTAATTGGCACCTTACATGGTATCAGAGCCTCTATGACCAAGTGACCAAGAGTTCAATCCTTACCTCCCCATTCTATTGATAAAAAATTAAATATTGCAGAATTTCTTAGTACAAGTAGGTGAGTCTCTGTATTGTCCATCCTTCAAGCACAATGGGCTCTTATGTGAGAAGGCAAACCACCGAAGAACAAGACTCTCCGAATTGCAAGGGTAAGGGTGAGAGTCGATTGTAGCAACCTTACCCTTGTATTTTTTGCAAAGAGGTTATTTTCCAGACTCGAATCCATGACCTTCCGATCATAAGAAGCAACCTTACCACTACTCCAAGGCTCACTATTGCTCTTATGTCAAGGGATGTATTAGAGAAATATAAAAAGAAATAAAAAAAATCACTCCCCGTTAAACCCGACTATCGAGTGTAAGGTGAAGGTAATCCTTGTACGCAGCCTTACCTTTACCCTTATATTATATTAGAGAAATATAATATAAAATCACTAATATGCCTTCACCTAATATCTTAAGCTCTTAGGTTGAATTGGTGCTTTAAACATATAATCGAATATTAAAACCAATATTCAATTATTTTTCAAGAGCTATGCCAGCCAACCTTGCTCATTGGTAGGAAAAATAATCAATTATATCATGGTGAATAATCGATTATTTTATACCGAAAATCAGGTTTGAAAATGAACTTGCTGCTAATCAATTATTGCCGTGAATAATTGATTATGTATGTCATAAATCAAGTTTGAAAATGAACTAGATTGGGAACAAATCCACTGTTGGCTTGCTTAGATAAATGTTGGACTAAAATATAGAGATAGGTGTTATGAATGTTTATTGTAAAGTACCAGAAGGTGGTTTTTTATTAAGATTTTATTAATTGTGCAAATATCAAATCTGTAAACAAAAAAACAACTCCTATGAAACCCAGGTTTGCGAAGGTAGGGATAAGGAAATCCTTATGTCCCCTTACCTTTTACATTTTTGCAAATAGGTTGTTTCCGATATTTGAACCCATGAACTTCGGCCAAAAAGGATCAGTTTTACTACAACTTTAGACCCGTCCTCATTGCTAAAATCAAATTAGTATGTATAGAAAAGTAATGAATCTATGTTGTATTTGATAATTTGTATAGCATATGGTACAAGATGAGCTTGTTTTGAAATGTGCATGATGTGATAAATGCATTTGATCTATGATGCGTGCGTGAATGAATATGGGTTTGGGAATGAATCTGAAGAAGGAATCTCCAGTGTATAAATAACAATCTCCAGAGCAGGGGACTCTAGATAATCACTCCTAGGAAACATGTTCTCCGAACGGAGGGGAAGGTATCTCCGGTACATGAATAACAACCTTCGGAGCGACGGACTTACCACCTCCAAGTTGCCATCAATTGATATTAAATTTGTATCGGAAAATATGAACCTACTAAAATTGTTTCTTTATAGAAAGTATTAAGTTAAGCGTTCCTTATATGGAAAACCATGTATATGTTGTACACGTTATTGAGGAAATTTATGTAAATGCGCATACGCGTGCATGTGTTGCACTGGAAGTGATGTAGAATAAACTTTCGAACCATGCTATACTCAATATTTAAGTTCTTGAAATTAGGTGGCTTCCTCACTGAGTTGCAAAATATCACCATGTATCTTTTCTTCAAGCTCAATAATAAATATGAACTTTTTGCTCTTATTCACACTCTAATGCTAGGGGTCCTACAAAAATTTCTAATGTCTCTAGGGCCAAACGATTTGTTTTGTTAATTGATGATTATACTTGTGTAATTTGGATTTTTCTAATGAAAGATAAATCTGAACTGACGTGGATGTTTATCCAATTCTAGCATATGCTTGCTTGCAAGGGACATACTGATTTTCTTGAAAATGATTCCTACACCAATAAGTAATATTCCTCACCTGCTCCAAGATCTCCTGTAAGTGCTTTAGAAGATGCCGTAACACAGATATGACCGCCACTTCAAGGATCTGATCCCAATAAGTGGAGCCAGCTTTAGGAGATCCTCCCGGATATATCTCAGATAACATAGTTTGGGCCTGCAAATGGTACAAATAATAAAGAATACAACATCTAGTCAACAGGACAAAAGCTTGTCCGAGTAAAGAAGGACTACAGATCAAAGTTAACATATTCAATAGCATTTATGAGAAGAAAATTTGCCTACTGGGTAACATTCTTGGCAAAAAATTACCTACTGGAAAAACTAAAATGTGTACAAAGGTTAGTTCTACTTCCTATCTTAAATGACAAAGTTTACTTCTTTAATCTAACAATCTCTCCCCTGTTTACATCTTCCAATTTTCCACAAAATGAAAGAGAAAAACCAATGATAAAATTGATTTCACCCTATTGATGTTGATTATATGCTAACGACAAATATGAAGTGAGCATGAAGAGTAACACACATTCTATAACTTGTAAACGTTTCAATCAACCTGCAATTTGTAAACTTCAGCAATGAAAAAATCAAGTCCTAAATTTGATGTGTCATGACAATCTCTTTTGCTGCTGCTTGATTTTATTTTGTTTTCTTATTCAGATAGGAGGCTTTGGACTATTGATTACATACGTCCTTCCTCTCTTTTTTTGTTTCTAACTCACTTCAAACTGAGTAAATTGCTTCCGATTGCCCCGTTTGGAAATCCAGAGCTCCTCCACTGGACAAGTCTTGCATTTGGACTGTGGTACTCATAGGGCTTATAATGAATATATTGAACATTTGTAAACCATACAATACTATTTTCCTTCTATATGCATTATTCGTGGCTCTAGCTCAGAAATGGCTGCCCATTTGTTTATACACAACTCAGCAGTACATCTAACATAGGTTTTTGGAATTTTAATGAAGTTTGGGCATTCCCTTTAAATTTGAACAGTTTTCGTTAACTAGTTTTAAAGCTATTGAAAAGATTAAGGAGGAAAGAACTTCATCGCATTGAGCTACTTATACTGTTATTGGGTGTATTTGGCAGAAGCGCAAAGGTGCCGCACTTTTAACATTACAGCTTTGAGGCCCCGCTATCGGATAGGATTGTTTTTCTGGCCTTCCTATAGTGCTCAGCCCCATCTGTTTAAGACCATCTGATAAGATGCCTACAAAGGTTTATTCTAGGAAACGCCTCAGAGGATTAACCACGGATGACTTAGCAAAGGAATATAGATGAAAATGTGGAGGGCAATTCAGTTGGAGGAGAGAGAGGGGGGATGGACTGAAGGAGTTAGTTGAGTATGTTATATTTCAGGTAGTTAGCGTAGAAAGAGAATAGAATGGAAATGGATTGGGACTTGGGAGAGCTCAACACCTCTCTAATGTATTGAACCTTAGTATTTACATTTTGATGTAATTTGCTGTTTCTGCATTTGAATTCTGTAATTTTCTGTTTCTTCAATATATAGAAAATTCCAGATTCTTTTCTGGGCAAAAACATTGTTGTTTGTCTCTGTTTTACTGTTATTTGATCTAGTTCTATCACCATCTTAGTTGAAATATAATGGAGAGACAAAAGGGGGGGTTCACCCTCCCAATTAACAGGAACAATCAACCAAAATCAAGTTAAAGACTAATTCTCTTCAAATCTAAAATTGTTAAAGTATAGGCCTAAGAATGTTTTTTTTTTTTGTCTGTCAAATGTATGCACGCCAAACTTTTATGTTTTGATGAGCCTTTTCTTTTCCAGCTGCTCTATGTTTTTATGCAACTGCAAAGGAAAAAGCTATCCTAATTTTTTAATCTTTCTTCCTTCCTTCTCCGTAATCTAATTTCATGTGTCGGGGAAAAAATCAGCTGAGTGGAATCTATTGAAAAAAAGATAGCAGCACCTGACTCAATAGCTGTTGAGACATATTTGCAGACTTCGCAGAAGTTGCAGCAACGTCAATGCAAAGAAGAATCTGGCAAGAAATGCAAATTCTCAGAACCAACCATACACAAAGCATTCTTTTTCCCATTAGTTGAAATGACAAAGTCTAAATTGCTCTCTTATCATTTTAGGCACTTACTGTAGCCAAGGAACCCAACTGAGAGCGTAAAGAGGAAAAATCTAGATCATGTACACGGGACACCACATCATCTACCTGCATACATGCAAAAAATATATTATCATTCATGCCAGGCAATCAGAAATCAATAAGGCCATGCAAACAAGGAGTCCATACAAAAGATACAAAAGATTGCATCCATGACTACCCAACTCAACAGGTAATATACTGAAAAAAAAAGTATATTTGTCACATAAAACATAAAGAACGCGTAAATTGAAAATGATAACAGCATCTACATATCCTAGGATAAAGTATACAACCCAAAAGAATTACATTCATTAAACTGCTCCATACATCATTAAAAAAAGTAAAAGGGTGGGGGCAGGAAGACAAACCATACAAGCCAAGGATCTAAGAGGGGTTTTCATGCCAATCAATGTTACAACTTATTATGACCATTTTAACAACCACCGAAAGAATAAAATCAGGCCTCACACTTCTCTTTCACCTCAAGTTTTGTTATGTGCAATCCAGTTTTGAAACAACAAAATACTACTTTATCCATTGCAGCCACCTTTCTTTGGAACAACTACTTTACAGTTTTTTATGAACACTGCATGTCCTTCTACCTTGGAGCAATTTTTGTTAGATCATTATCATGGTTTTGGTAGAAACAACAAGGCCATAATTCTGTGGCAATGAAAAGTTTTATTTTGTGTGCATAAGGGTGTCTCCTTGCCTTTAAATCTGCTTTGGGATATGATTAAGTTTTTAGCTTCTCTGTCTGCCCATGAATGTTTCAAGGCTTTAGCCATCTCTGGTATGCGGCCTACCAAACTCCAAAAACTTTCCTGCAATCATAGGCCTTCCCAAGAATAAGTGATGGATCTATATTTTATACCCCCATTGTGCTTGTTCCTTGGCAAAAATGAGCTCTTTGCACCATTGTTTTGGGTTTAAAAGATTTGAAAAAACTCAATTACCAATGTATTGGGCTGTTTTGAAAGAAAAGAGAAAAATATTGCAAAGCTCATTCCTAATGGATGAAAAAGACTAGCATTTCCTAATGGCCCTATATCTCACTTTTCTTTTCTCTTTCTTGTCTCAGTTTTTCTTTCCTCTCTTTTTATGCAGAAAATTTGTGCAGAAAAAAAGAAAAAACCCACCTAAAGGTATCAAAAAGTGAAGCCCAACAAGGCTAAACCCAAGAGCAAGCAAAAAGATTGGGTACAAGTGGAAACCTAGCAAGAAAATATCTCTATCTACAGCACCCAAATCACGTCATCGTGCAACCATGGCTGTTAGAAGATAGAGAAAGTGAGAAAAGCTTCCCACGTGCAAAGGAGAAATGGGAATCACACCATCCTTGAAGGCAATCACAAACTAGACAACTAAGCACCCTTGGATGAAGATGCAAAGATGAGAGCCATTGATGAAGACAGGGCTGTCATTTTTCAGATCTGTAAAAAGGAAGCAAAAAGAAAGAAGACGAAGAGCTACACACCATTTTGGTGGGGGAAAGGTGAGGGGGTGATGCCTCTAAGCTACTTGACCACCACCATCACCTTCATCTTTCTTTCTTTCTCCTACCCACCATCATCTACTTCTTTCTATTTTTCTTTTTTCTTTTTGTTACAGACCCTCCTTCTATCATCTTCGACGTAAGGTAGGAGTACTACCGGTAGCTGAAAAAATGAGAGAGCATAGATTGAGGTGGTTAGGGCACGTTATGAGAAGGCCCCTAGATGCTCCTGTAAGAACAAAAGTTTGTTACCAAGAGCTAGACACAAAGAAAGGTAGAGATAGACCGAAACTTACTTGGAGAAAGGTAGTAAAACAAGACTTAATGGAGTGGGATATAGATTGGCGGACGGTGTCCCTTAAGATGGAATGGAGAAAAGCTATTAGCATGGTGGAGGGTTAGACCCATTGTTATTCCTATATTCCAGATGGTCTATTTTTAGTCTTTTTCCTCTTTATCTCCAATCTTCTTCTTCTTTTCCCCTTCTTTTCCTTTATCTCTTTTCCCCTTCCCCATCTTCTTCTTCTTCTTCTTCTTTTTTTACACCCCTTTTTTATATTTATATTATTTTTATTTTTATCCCTTCGTACCTTTCATTTGGGTTCATTTACCAAGGACCCCAATTAGTTTGGGATAAAGGTGTTGTTGATGTTGATATTACAACCCCTCTTTGAGGGGAGGGTGAAAGGGGTGATGCCCTTGAGCTACCCCAATCATTTTCTTTTTCTACATCCATCTTCTTCTTCAATCTTCTTCTGCACTTTTTCTTCTTTTTTATTTTGTAATTTTTTGTTTTGTTTCAGTTGTAATGTTCCTTTTAATTTTATTGTTTTCTGCATTTGTGGTTCAGCCATGCCCTTTAGCATGAACTGACTTATTTTTAGGAAAGGGAAAGTTGTAGTTCCCAAATGCCGTAATCTAAATGTTGGTTTATAATTTTAATTAAGTTCTTCTATTTTGTACATTTTTTAGTAATCTAATTTGATGGAAATCAAGTTTTTTGAGGAACTGACTTTCGAAAAGAAGCTTTTCCAGACTTCAAAATATCAATTGGAAGGTGAAAGCGTGTAAACACTTCCACTAATTGCCTTAGGAATAAAAAAAACCCAAGTTCCTGTATAGGTTCAGCGCAATAAAAGTTCGGAACGGAACCGCAAGGGAACGCGGGGTTCCATAAACCAAACAGCCCAAGAGCTTGAGGAATCAGCATTGTCAATTATAAGTGATCTGAAAACTCCATTGGATAAGGCACTAAGCCAAGATTTAGGTGCAGCATTCATGAATCAATAACCCTGTTCCTACTTTCTTTATTTCAGTTCCTTATCTTCGCTGTTTTATTAAGATTACTATTGTTCTGTTCCTGGGTGCATTCCTGGATTCGTTCCTGTGTTCTTCAAAATAAAAACCAAAAATATTTATAGCCTTTCACTTTACATTTTCTGCACAAAACTTGATAACTTTCAAGTACTCGAATTGTTCCTCATACAACCGTTCCTCCTTGCAAAAGTGAGGAACGCCACCAATAACACATTTTGTCCAAAGGATTAAGATTTAGCATATGGTTCAGGTTATCAGTGACATGAGGTTGTACTCCGATCTAGTAGCAGAACCCGTTTATTGCATTTGTTCCTTGTGACTCACAAGCGTTCCTCGTTTACTGCACCTTGTTCGTTGTTTCCTGTTGATCGTTCCTTGTTTATTGTGCTCGTTCCTTGTCATTTAGTTCCTTGTTTCTCTGTACAGCTTTACTTTACTCGTTATTTTAGTTATTTTATTTTGCTTACAACTTCTCTAACCCATTTTTGTATCACTTTCTCCTTGGGAACGATAATCTGGGACATTATACTCCCATTTATTACATGGATGCGTGCGCTTGCAATAAGCTAAACACCAAAGTTAGGATTTTGATTGGACAGTAGCACTCAGAAGAAATCTAGAAATTACTATGAATGTCATGCTGCAGATTCGGAGCCCTCATACACCCTTTCTCCAGTTATGTGAGTGAATGCAGGTTCAGTTTGAAAACAATTGTCCATGTATATTGTCAATGTCAGGCTGCTATTTCTTATGCAATGATCTTATTGGACCTCTTGGAAAATAGCCAAATACCAGGTGATCCTTTGACCTAGGAGCAATTTCTCATGATACATTTCAAAGGATTCAGCAAGAATGAGAAGGCCTAAACTCGGCAGTACTGTGCAATTTATGCAGTTCATGGATTATTTGGTTGGAAGAATGCCCAAATTTTACAGAAGTTATTTTCTTGATGCGTCAATTGATGGAAAGATATCGAGAAAAAAAAAAGGATTTACATATAGTGTTCATAGATCTTGAGAAAGCATACGATAGGGTCCTAAGAAAAGTTTTATGGTCGGTTCTTGAGAAGAAAAAAGTACCATCAAAGTATGTAAATGCAATCAAGGATATGTATAATGGGACTACTACATGTGTGAAAGCTTGTAATGGAACATCAAGTTATTTTCCTATTACAGTAGGTGTACACCAAGGTTCGGCTCTAAGTCCTTATCTCTTTGCCTTAGTGATGGAAGAACTAACAAAAGACATTCAAGAGGAAGTGTCGTAGTGCATGCTTTTTGCAGATGATATTGTGCTTATTGATGAGATCAAAGACGGTGTTAATAGGAAACTTGAATTGGGAGAAGCACTTTGGAGTCTAAAGGTTTCACATTAAGCCAAAGCAAGACTGAGTATATGAAGTGTGAGTTTCCTCTGGTAAGAGATGGAGATCAAGACCCCGTGCATCTACTTGGTCAAGAGGTACCCAAGAAAGATACTTTTAGATACCTGGGATCAATTTTGCAAAAAGGTGGTGAGATTGATGAAGATGTAAATCATATAATCAGAGCAAGATGGATGAAATGGCGGAGTGCATCTGGATTTTTGTGTGACTGTAAAATTTCCCTTAAGCTAAAAGAAAAATTCTATAGAACAGCAGTAAGACCTGCAATGTTATATGGAGCTGAATGTTGGCCAGCACATAGGCAACACGAGCATAAAATGGGAGTAGCAGAAATAAGGATGTTAAAGTGGATGTGTGGATATATGAAGATGAATAAGATAAGAAATGAAGATATTCGACGAAAGGTAGAAGTAGTACCGGTAACTGAAAAGATGAGGGAACATACACGTAATGAGACGGCCCGTGGATGCTCCTGTAAGAACAAAACTTTGTTATCAAGAGCTCAACATAAAGAGAGGTAAAGGTGGACCGAAACTTACCTGGGGACAGGTAGTTAAACAAGACTTAATGGAGTGGGATATAGATTAGCGGACAATGTGTCTTAGGACGGAATGGAGAAAAGCTATAAGCAGAATGGAAGGTTTTGTTATTCCTATGTTCCAGATGGTCCCTTTTTAATCCTTTTCCTCTTCAACCCCCCTCTCTTTCTGTTAAATATTATAGATACAAGAGGAAATGATAGTAATCCTTGTTGTATTAAACTACACAACATTGGTGCTATTATATAGCAAACCAATTGAAGAATACAAAGAGACACACTCAATGTGGGACTTCTACACTATTAACACTAACACTCTTAACACTCCCCCTCAAGCTGTAGCATATAAATCATATGCTACAAGCTTGATACATAAATAATACTCCCATTAGGAACCAAAAACAACAATGCTACATCAACGAAATGAAATGACTAAGTACAACAAATCAACTGGAATGACCATCAGTCTGAAGAGCTGATAAAGAGACAGTGCTGGAATGGACATCGGAGCATGGATGGTGCCGGAATTATCATCGGCAAAGACAACTGAGCTGACCAGGACATCAGCATCAAGATCCCTCTCAGACATTTCATTTAACAGTTGGTGAGCAGCCGTGGTTTCCCCTTGACTATGCTACAAGCTTATTACAAGAAAGACCAAGTAACATAACATCAAAATAAATCTCCTAAATGAGAAACCAAAAATCAACAATGTGCTAAAAATGGCGTCGAAATGAACATCAACATGGAACATCGGCAAAGACGATTTTGTTGGAATGACCATCAGCAACATGGACGGTGCTCCCCCTCAAGAGGAACTTCTAAACAGTGCCGGAATTATCATCAGCAAAGACAATTTGTGCTGGAATGACCATCAGCAACATGGACAGTGCTCCCCCTCAAGAGGAACTTCTAAACAGTGCCGGAATTATCATCGGCAAAGACAATTGTGCTGGAATGACCATCAGCAACATGGACAGTGCTCCCCCTCAAGAGGAACTTCTAAACAGTGCCGGAATTATCATCGGCAAAGACAATTGTGCTGGAATGACCATCAGCAACATGGACAGTGCTCCCCCTCAAGATGGATGATGAATAGTATAAATACTCCATCTTGGGAAGAAAGAAGATTAAAGAAAAACAAAGCTTCGCGGAATCGAAAAAGTCGCCGGAGACGGCGGTGGGTCGTCGAAAAAGTCGTCGGAGACGGTGGTGGATCGTCGAAAAAGTCGCCAGAAAGTCATCGGAAAAGTCACCGGAAAAGTCGCCGGAGACGGCTGTCAACGGTGGACGACGCGGTCAACGGTGGTCGGTCAACGACAACGGTGGTCAACCCAACAACTTCCCAAGGATCATTCTTTTCTGATATGACAGATCAGTCTAAGCTGCAGTCACAGAGCATATTAAGAAAAACCCGAAAAAGAAATAGCAACGGGAATCCCTCAAGGAGGGTGATATCTCTCTATAACCATATTGAAATTATGGAAAATAGAACCAAGTTAAACGGATTAAGATTCCTCTTGTTAGGCTCTAGATACCATGTTAAATATTATAGATACAAGAGGAAATGATAGTAATCCTTGTTGTATTAAACTACACAACATTGGTGCTATTATATAGCAAACCAATTGAAGAATACAAAGAGACACACTCAATGTGGGACTTCTACACTATTAACACTAACACTCTTAACACTTTCTTTTCCCCTTCTTGTCTTTTATCTTATTTCCCCCTTCCCCAATTTTTATTTTTATTTTTATTTATTTAGTTATTTTTTATTTATTTTATTTTATTTTTATTTTATTTTTTTTATCTATCATTGGGTTCATCTACCACCGACCCCAATTAACTTGGGTTAAAGGTGCAGTTGATGTTGAATGCCCAAATTTGCAAGAGTGTCTCTTTGCACTTACGAATATTATTGGGTAGGAGTGTGTTTAGGATATCTCATTGCTGTTCGAACCAGGGTTTTTTTTAAGGATGCTTCCCTGTCTTCTATGCAGAGATATTGAAAAGCTTTGTTGAGTTTTTCAGAAACAGAAATAGCATCTCGTTAAGGAAAATAAAAGATAAATATTTGCAAAATCTATAACTAGGTTCTGGACACATGTCGCCAACTGTTAGAAAAAAATTAACAGTTTGAGGAAATTCCAACGTATAAAGAACATACAGATGCTATTTTGCAGGCACTATCTACCCATTCGGCCAACTCAAGGGTAGCTTTGTCTTCAGCAGATAATGAAAATCGATGAACCGCTTCTTCTCCAATATCAAACTTCGCTCTCTGCATGCAACTGCAGAAGAAGAAACAAGATATTTTGGGACAAAATAAATCAATTAAAACAAATAACTAAATAGAAGGAGGGCAATAATTTTCTCAGAACAGCAAAAACAACAAATTAAAGAAAACGTTGTACAAAACATTAGCCCAAAGAACTATCTAATCCTTAGCAAATCCATTACATAAGAACCAAAGACCAAGAAAAGAAAACAGAATTGAAATAAACAAAATGAAATATATCAACTGCAAAGAGTAAACCAATCTTCCTGCAATGCAAGACAAAAACTCCCCATCACAAACCGAACCATAAAGTTTGCTTACCATTAAATAATTTTATTCACTAAAAAAGTTAATCAACTTATGGTAAGCATATGCACTTTTCAGATGTAAATCATAACGAGAAAATCTACCGAAATTGACCTTTATTTGCTGTTTTATGCATTAGAAGGAGGATCAAACTCACAGGTTAAGCAGCTTGGAAGGAGCTGCGCGTAACACTGTCAGTGCCTCTTTCCATCTCCATTGGCGGTCAGATAATGGTAGAAGATGCTGCAAAATTGACAAACGCCATTCCCACTCTTCAATGAAACGCTTTGGGATTGAGATTCTCCACTCAAGAGCCTGTCTGCTCGCCGTGCTTACAGCATTGTCTAGTGCATTCTCTAATTCAATCACAGATGATGGAATATTGCAACGCAATATATCAAGTAGCAAACTAGTGAAAGATATAACCATTTTATTTCCCACTTCACTTCTAGTTGGACAAGTTTCTTCCGACGAATTGGATAATTTAGAATCGCTCCCTGGTGATCCGCAATGCATCAAGTTAACAGACATATTATCCATATGCAGTAGCGAAATTATGACATTGACCATCAAAACCTGCATCATCAAAAAATTGGTATTAAATAAATACAGTAATAACAACTGGAAAAAGAAATCATTAGTCTTCGAGCAATGGAGGCCAACACATAAAATATTACAATTCCAAGAAATACAAAAGAGCACAAAAAATGTAAAACAATACCACATGGATCTTTTTTGATAATGTGTATCATCCCACATAGATGCTACTTGATAATTTTTACAGCATATAATCACTGAAACATGGCATATTACATCCTACATAAACTTTTCTCTTACATTTATTTTGTGAAAATCAATTTAAGAGAAGGATCCAAATACAACATTTTTCGATTTTAAACAAATGGAAGTAATATTGGAGATAAAGAAAGGCAATTAACAATACATCCAAATACAACACATCGCAATTGTTACCGGTCAGATCTTACATGTAAGGAAGGAAAAAAATGATCCAAAAAAAATTTGATCAGAGAGAAAAGAGGAACATTAAAACTTGTGTGGACTGGGGAGGATAAGATATATGAAAAAGAACTTGCTATACACAACTATATGGAGAAAATTGCTTATAATGAGTTAGAGTAAACTCAGTTTAGTACTGTAGTATCTGTTATACTATTATGCCATGTAATGAAGTGTAGTTTGCCTAGCTGGCAGGCAGTTAGAATCCTTAGGATTCAGTTAGGAATCTGAGTGAGCTTCCTAGCTATAAATGTAACAGAACCTCTTAGAGGCTTAATTTCATTCAGTTACAAATACAGAATATAAAAATCTCACTATTTCTCTCTAATCTTTTCCTTCACTTTCCCTTACTTTCTCTCAGTATCTCACGGATTTTTTAGCCCTATCATGGTATCAAGAGCTTCCATTTGAACCTGAATCCATGTCTTCCACTCCTCGAAGTCCTTTCCAAAAATTTGTATCCACCTCCAATTATTACTGCCTTACTGGTTCAGATCCAATTCTAAAGGGATATGACCAAGGTTTGTCCATCACCTCAGTTGGCCCCTCCAAATTTCACTCTCCACACCAGCCACACATCTCTTTGGTCCTTAATCTTCTTAGTATGCCTTCCATCACTAAGAACCTTGTTAGTGTGAGTCAGTTTGCAAGGGATAATGCCATATACTTTGAATTTCATGCCAATTGTTGCTTTGTCAAATCTCCCTCAACCTCAGACTATATTCCTTCTTCTTCTGTTCCTTCCTCTTCCTCTATCCATCCCATGCAAACAAGACCTAAGGAATTCATAAACCCTACCTGCCTAATACCTACGTTACTTGTAGCTCACTTGGAGACTACTTCAATCAAACAAGCCATGGCCCAAGTCATGAATTCATAAACCCCACCTAGTTCCTAACTTACTTTTAGGCTTTAGCTCATTTGGCAACTAGCCACCTACTTCCATCAAACAAGCATTGGACCACCCGCAGTGGCACGTCTTGCCAACAAGACTTGGTCGTCAATGTTTTTACCTCCACATTAACAGGCCAATGGTTGCAAGTGGGTCTTCTGGATAAAGGAGAATTCAGATATCTCTATTAATAAGACTAGTTGCCAAAGGTTTCCATCAACAGCCACAGAGACATTTTCACCCTCGGGAAAGCAAGTCACAGTTCGTCTCATCCTTACCTTAGCACTCATCCATAACTGGTCTAATTAGCAATTTGATGTGAACAATGCATTCCTCAAGAAAATGAGGGAAAGGTGAGAACAGAGAAAAGGGGGGCAGGTCTCGAGAGAAATCGGAGAATTGTGTTTGTTATCTCAAAAGAAGCAGACTACAACTACTGAATTTATGTTTTCTTTTTTTTTCTTTTTTCTTTTTTTTTGGGGGGGGGGGGGGGGGGGAACGCTTCTTTAGGAAGCTAGAGCTAAGGACAGCTCAGCAAAGCTTAAATACTAACTGACTAAAATTCCTAAATGGCTTCCTAGAAGAGAAGATCTATATGCAGCAACCACCTAGCTTTGAGATAGAGGAGGATAAATTTCCAATTTGTGAACTACACAAGGCTCTTTATCGCCGAAACCAGATCCTAGGGCTTGCTTTGAGCACTTTGCCAACATTTTATTGAGAGTCCAGCAAGTGTAATCCCTCCTTGTTTGTTCTTACTGCTTCTCAAACATTGTATCTATATTCTAGTCTATGTAGATGATATAATTGTGACTGTTAGCTCTACAGAATTGATTCAGAAGCTTATCACAAAGCTCAACTCAGTTTTTGCCCTTAAACAATTGGGTTCCCTTGACTATTTCTTCGGAACTGAGGTCAAGCATCTTCCAAACGGCTCCATATATTGTTGCCTTAAAGCAAAAACATTAGGGATCTCCTCCCTAAAGCTCTAATGAAAGAGACAAAAGGGATCTCTACCTAAGGTTAGCGGATGCATACTCGCTAAATATGGCAGTGATTCAAGACCATTGCTATACAAGTCAGTGGTACGAGCCTTGCAATATGCCACATTGAACACACCCAAAAATCAGTTACACAGTAAATAAAGTCTGTCAAGTCTATTGTGATGCAACCTGACAATCTGTATCAGCCTTTCACTCTCCAGGCCTATTGTGATGCAGATTAGGCTTCTGACCCTTATGACCACAGATCAACCTCAGGATCATGTGTGTATTTTGGTCCTAATGTAGTCTCTTAGTGGTCCAAGGAGCAGTCTTTGGTGGCCAGGTCCAGCACGAAAGTTGAGTATAGCAACTTGGCAGACACAGCAACACAATTGTTGTGGATACAAACTCTGCTTGGAAAATTACATGTGCTTGTTCTCACGTCTACAATCTATTGCGACAAACTTAGCACATTCTCTCTCTCACAACCCTATGCTTTATTCTTGGACCTTTTTTTTGTTCAAGAAAAGGTCATCACTAAGAGTCTATCAACTTGTCACATCCCAGCTCAAGACCACTGTGTCGATCTTCTCTCCAAGGCTTTATCACTGTTAGAGTAGTACAATGTATATAATAGAATAGTCCCATATCTTGTATATGATAGATTAGTTTCTGTACTTGTTAATATAAATATATTTCTTGTGAGCTCGTATTAGACACACAATTATTCAATCTTAAGTTGGTACCAGAGCTCTTTGTTCTGGGAACTTTCGCTTCTGCTAAAACTCTAAGCCCACTGCTTAGGAGTGCCAAAACCCCAAGCCCACTGCTTAAGGATTTACTATTCATCGCCAGGAATACTGTTCTAGCATCATTTTTTTGGTCATTTTAGGACAGAGCTGCTCGGTTTTGTCTCCTCCTTCCAAATCTGCTCTTGGTTCTTTGTTGGTTCTTCGTGGGACTCTTGTTTGGCGTGTGTTTCTTCTTATTTGGCTATAGGTTTGATTCTATTCTACAAGTTTTTATTTCATTCATAATGGCAGCATCGTCTCTTGTTCACTCGGAGGTCAATTCTCCTCCTGCCAAAAGTTCTTCGGGTATCATCTCCACTAATGTTGCACTCGTTACCTCCTCCAATCTACTGCTGGGTTCTGTTAACTACAAGAATTGGTCCACCTCTGTTCGCGTCCGGTTCTTTGGACAAAAGCATAGGCGACATCTCACAGTTCAATCTACTGCTATTCCTAAGAAAGAAAAATTTGATTGGGAAAGTATTGACAACCAGCTTCTGAGTATTCTTTGGCAGTCTATTGATCCAATCACTCTTGACATTTTCTATTCTTTTCAGACATGCTATAAAGTGTGGGAGGAAGCTAAAAACCTCTACACTAATGATATTCAGCAGCTTTATATTATCATCTCTTAATTCATGGATTTGAGCAAATCATTTGACATTCAGATGGAGACATATGTTGGCAAAAGTCGATCTTTGATGTATGTGTACTTTGATATGTTGCCTTACCCTACTGATGCTTCTGCATATAGGAAATAGATAGAGCGCCTCTTTATGGTTGCACTCTTTTTGGTCTTCCCGAGGAGTATGATAGTGTCCATGACACTATCTTGACTAGTAGGGATCCTAATTTATCACTGACTTACCAGTGCCTCTTGAATCTCAACAAGAAACTAGTGTCTACGCCTGATTCATCTTCTGTTGTTGATTCCACTACTCTTGTTTCTCGTACTGACTCTCACGAGAACACTGGATGTGGTCGCGGTTGTGGCCGGGGCCAGGACAGACACGGTCAAAGACCTCGTTGTAGTTATTGTCATCAATTTGGTCATTATGAGGAGCGTTGTTACACGAAGTATCCTCACCTGCGACCCTTTCATGCTGCAAATATAGCTCAGTCAGATACTGCTTCATCTGGTTCAATCTCTCTCTCTCTCTCCGGCAGACTATGCAGCACTCTAGACACTTCTCAGGAAAGCTTCTCCTCAGTCTCAGCCTTCTACTCCAGCTACTAATAATCTTGTTGCTTGTGTTTCTCATTCTACATCACTTGGTCCTTGGTTATTTGACTCAAGTACTACCGATCACCTTTGTGGTCAAAAGGAACTCTTTACATCCCTTACTTATTCTGATCATTTACCTTCCTTTACCCTTGCTAATGGCGCTAAAGTCCCTGTTCGTGGGATTGGACAAGCTCGTTCGACCTCTTCTTTGACCATGACATCTTAATTTCTGTTAGTAAATTGATCCACTCCCTTACTTGCATTATTACCTTCTCTAACTTCTGTGCAGGATTCGGGTACGGGGAAGACGATTGGAGTGGGTCGTGAGTCACGGGGTCTTTACTATCTAGTTGTGCTTTGTCCTTCAGTGGCATGCTCTCTTACAGAATCTCCACAACTTATACACAGTCGCCTCGGTCATCCAAGTCTTTAAAAAATGCAGAAGATGGTTCCTCTTTTATCTGGTCTTCAGTCTTTAGATTGTCTGTCTTGTCAACAAAGGAAGCACACACGCTCCTCCTTTACCAATCGAGACAAAAAACGAGCTGATGCTCCTTTTTCTCTTATTTATTCAGATATTTGGGGTCCAAGTCGTACTTTGTCTGTTTTAGATTTTCGGTATTTTGTTACTTTTATTGATGATTATTCATGTTGTACCTAGATTTATTTAATGAAAAATTGTTTTGCGTTATTCCCAATTTCTAAAAAAAATTTTGCTGAGCTTCATACTTAATTTGGTGCCTCTATACGTATTTTACATAGTGATAATGCTAAGGAGTACGTTTCTTTTGACTTTTCTAATTACTTGGCCCACACAAGGTACTTTAGACTAGACTACTTGTCCTCACACTCCACAACAAAATGGGGTGCCAAACGTAAAAACAGACATATCATTGAAACTACCCGAACTCTTCTTATTCACATGCATGTTCCCCTTTACTTCTGGGCAGATGCAGTACTAACCTCTTATTTTCTCATCAACCGCATGCCTTCCTCTGTGCTTAACAATGACATTCCCTATAACCTATTGTTTCTAGATGCTCCTTTTTATCATCTATCCCCACATGTCTTTGGTTGTACCTCTTTTGTTCATGATCTCTCCTAGTAAAGACAAGTTAACATCCAAAGCCTTTAAATGTATTTTTCTTGATTATTCTCGTCTCCAAAATAGTTATCGTTGTTATTCTCCTTATCTTAAGCGTTATATTTTTTCCGCTGATGTCATTTTTTCTTGATCAACAACACTTTCATTCTATCCCATCTCAGTTGTCACAAGTTGATCAGGTTATTCTTGCTCCTTTTCTTGACTTGTCTTTACCAGCTGCAGGTGACTCTATCCCAGAAGAGCGACATCTTGCCTCCATCCCTGAGGACCGCCCTTTTCTCACCTATCAGCATCATCAGACCGTGCCTCCTGCGGACTTTGGTTGATTCATCGCCTTCTCTTGTCAACTCTTCCCCTCTAGCTCCTTCACCAGAGGCTTTTCCCATTGCCCAAAGAAAAGGTATACGTACTACTCGTAACTCTTATCTTCTTTATACCTTTTTGAGCTATGATCGTCTTTCTATTCCTCATTTCACCTGTATTTCTAGTCTTTCTTCTGTTTTTATTCCTAAGACCACAGGTGAAGCACTTTCTCATCCAGTGTGGCGCCAAGCGATGCTTGATGAGATGATTGTTCTTCATTCCAATGGCACTTAGGATCTTGTTCCTGCTCCTCCAGGGAAGTCGATAGATCTTTACTGTCAAGATTGGACCTGATGGCCATATTGATCGTCTCAAGGAGTGCTTAGTGGCCAAGGGTTTTACTCAGATTTTGGCCTTGACTATAGTGACACGTTCTCTCCTATTGCTAAGATGATGTTTATCCGCATGTTTCTTGACCTCGCTGCTGTTCGTCACTGGCCACTCCTTCAACTAGATATTAAAAATGCTTTTCTTCATGGTGATTTACAGGAAATGGTTTACATGGAGCAACCGCCTGGCTTTGTTGCTCAGGAGGAGTCTGGGATGGTGTGTAGACTTCGTAAGTCTTTATATGACCTCAAGCAGTCTCAGCGGGCGTGGTTTAGTCATTTCAGTTCCGTCATTCAGGCTTTTGGCTTAATCCATAGCGAGGCTGATCATTCTGTGTTTTATAAGTGCACATCACCTAATAAGTGCATCTATTTGTTAGTCTATGTCGATGACATTATTCTCACTGGAAGTGATCAAGCTGGGATTGACAAATTAAAACAATATTTGTTCAGTCAATTTCAGACAAAGGATCTTGGTAAGTTTCGTTACTTCTTAGGGATTGAGGTGGCACAGTCTGCGGGGGGGCAAATCAAATAGATATATACGTAGTATATATCTGTGTATATTGAATTACGACTACGGAAATAATAGAATGATTTCTGATTCGACCGGAATTCCTGGCGAGCCATATGAAAATTTAGAAATCCGATGCTTTGATAGATAGGGCATTTCCATCTGCCAAAGGAAATATGCCTTAGATATCTTAGAGGAGACTGGTATGTTAGGATGTAAACCAATTGATACACCCATGGATCCTCAAATTATTACCCGGACAGGGGGAGCCATTCTGTCATTATCTGATCCTGAACGTTATTGGAGATTGATTGCAAAGCTCAATTATCTCACTGTGACTAGGTCAGACATATCTTTTGTTGTTAGTGTGGCTAGTCAGTTCCTTAACTCCCCTTGTGATTCTCATTGGGATGCTGCTGTGAGGATCCTCTGCTACATCAAAAGAGCTCCAGGGAAAGGCTTATTATATTCAGATCAAGGACATACAGAAATTTGTGGTTATTCAGATGCCGATTAAGCAGGATCACCCTCGGATAGACGTTCTACTTCATGTTATTGTATCGTCTTTGGAGGAAACATGATTTCTTGAAAGAGTAATAAACAAACTATTGTTGCCTGATCCAGTGCAGAGGTCAAGTATCGTGCAATGGGAGCTGCCACCTGCGAACTAATCTGGTTAAAGCAGTTGATGCGGGAGCTCCATCTTTGTGAACAGAAACAGCCATGACACTCATTTGTGACAATCAAGTTGTGCTACATATATAATCTAATCTTGTATTTCATAAGAGAACCAAGCATATAGAGATCGATTGTCACTTCATTCGAGAAAAGACTCAATCATAAGAAATCAAAACAGCATTTGTCAACTCCAAGGATCAACTTGTGGATGTCTTCACTAAAGCTCTTAGAGGTCCTCGAGTTGAATACATTTGTACTAAGCTGGGTGCTCACAATATATACGCACCAGCTTAAGGGGGAGTGTTGGAGTAGTATAATGTATATAATAGAATAGTCTCATATCTTGTATATGATAGATTAATTTATGTACTTGTTAATATAAATATATTCCCTGTGTGCTCATATTAGACACACAATTATTCAATCTTAAGTATCACCAACCAGGTCTTCTTGTCTTGTGTAACAAACTCGGTGTTTGATCAATTCTCATTGCTACACCCACCTTGAGTTTGAGGGGGGAATGTTAAGAGTAATACTCAGTTCAGTAGTGCAGTATCTGTTATACTGTTATTCCAGGTAATTTAGTGTAGTTTGCCCAGCTATCAGCCTAGCTGGCTGATAGTTAGAATTGTTAGGATTCAGTTAGGAATCTGAGTGAGATTTCTAGCTATAAATGTATCAGAACTTATTAGACGCTTATTAAGTTCAACTAGTTACAATTACAACAACAACATCTTTATCTCAAAGTAGTTGGGTCTGCAGTCAATGAACCCATATAAAAGCAAGAACATATTAACAAAATAAATAACAAATAAGAAAAAATAATAATAATATATATATATATAAAAAATAAAAATCAGTTACAATTATAGAATAGAAAATTCCGAGTTACTCTCTAAGCTTTTCCTTCCCTTTCCCTTACTTTCTCTCAGTTTCTCAGGGTACTTGACTTATATCACAATGATTAACACCCTGAGAAGAAGGAAGCAATTGAACATAAATTTGATAAAATCATTGAAAAGGGAATAACCTTGCGTGGAAGATTACTAATTGCATCCAAATGGCTCTGCAAGTCCTTCAAATGAAATATTGGCACATCTCGACGAGTATCTATTTCATCAAACATATTCCTTTCCATTGCTCCTAAAGCAAGTACAGTTGATTCTAGAGCATAACGCATATGCATTAGTTCTACATCTTGCTTCCTATGGCAAAAAAAGGAAAACCGGCATAAACAGAAGGCTGAAAGAAGAAAACAGACATCACAGGTTAATCATAAGAGATTAAGTATTTGAACATTTCATGTCAAGAAAGTCAGCCACACAAGTGTGGCTTACACCCAGTCAAGGGCCGTCAGACTAAATGTCCATATGCAAAAAAGTGTTGATGCAACTGAGACAAATCCAAAGGCAAATCAAATGGTGTAGAAAAGAAAAGAGATGTGCGGCTGGCATTACTCTTTAAATGCCACAAACGAATATAATAAAAGCAAGTTTTTTAATCAGAATATCCATCCACTACATGGTTCACAAAATTAACATTCATCTATTATTAATCCCCATTTCAAACAATTAAATATCACATTTCAGCTCATTTTGTACCCAAAAAATAAAGGAAAATAATTTTCTTATGTTGTAGGAAAATAGTTATCTTATGTAGAAACAAGATTACAAGTGGGATCTGTTAGAATATTAGATATGATATGATTAGATATGATTAGATTCTGTCTTATCCGTAAATAGTCTGACTGTATTCTGACTGTATTAGGATTGGGAAATCAAGACTGCTTTCGTCAACTCCTCTGATCAACTAGCGGATGTTTTCACTAAAGCTCTTAGAGGGTGGGAGTGCCCAAGGCCTTATAAACTCCACATTAGTTGCACATACAACCAATGTGGGACTATATATCTCAACAGGATCCATAGGTAAAAGGAAAGAGAGAAAAAAAGAAGTGGGACTCACCCATCTTTTGTGTGTGTAGGAAATTTAGTTATCTCATGTAAAATGAAATAAATATAACCCAAAAATAAATACACATTGTAGCTGCAAACTGGAATAACCAATAATTACAATGATGAAAGGACGTGAATAGATTAAGAAGTGAAAGAATTGATTAAGGAAAAAAAAACTTTCAAATTCTATATATATATATATATATATATATATATATATAAAGAACCAATTCAACCCAAAAGCTTAAGTTGTTGTGTGATGTTACATAAATGATTTTATATATCTCAACACGCCCCCTCACTCGAGAGCCCACTGGGCTTAAAGAGTGGATAATGCACGGGTCCACCAAACTGTGCTAAGAAATTCCACAAGAGAAAGTGGGAGGCGATGAGGATCGAACCCGTGACGCTTAGACTCTGATACCATATAAAGAACCAATTCAACCCAAAAGCTTAAGCTCATAGGTGAAGATTTTTTAATGGTTTATACTATTCTCTAACACGCCCCTTCACATGAAAGCCCATTGGGCTTGAAAGGTGGATAATGCATCAGGCCCAGCCTACCTGTGCTAAGAAATTCCATAAAGAAAATGGGGGATGGCGAGAATCGAACCCAGGATACCGAGGCACTGATACCATGTAAAGAACCAATTCATCCAAAAGCTTAAGCTGTTAAGTGAAGGCCCATCAATGGTTTATATACTTCTCTAACATGCCCCCTCACACAAGAGCCCACTAGGCATGAAGGGTAGATAATGCACAGGCCCACCTACCTGTGCTAAGAAATTTCACAAGAGAAAGTGGAGGCGGTGAGAATTGAACCCGTAACACTGAGGGTGTGCATGACAACCATTCTATTCTCTAACACTGTTTTTGAAAAGAAACAATTCTTTTCTATTTCTGTGCCTTGGAATAGTTTCTGAGAAAAAAATTGTGTTTGATAACATGTTCTATTTTTATTCCGAGAATGAGAATTGTGTTTGATAACATAACAAGTAATATAATAAAAAATAATTCTTATTAAATATAAAAAAAATTCGGATCATCACTTTCATTTTCATATGGTATGGTTGTGGTGGTGGTGGCGGGGGCGGCAGTACGGTAGTGGTGGTGGCAGTGACGTGGTGATGATAGTGGCGGTGGTTGTGACGGCAGTGGCTGCGGCAATGACGGTGATAATGGTGGCGGCGACAGTGGTAGTGGTGGAGATGGTGGCGGTGGAGGTGACGACAGTGGCTACGACAATGGTGTTAGGGATGGTGGTTGGTGGTGGCAACAATGGTAGCGGTGGCATGGTGGTGGTGGTGGCAGTGGCTGCGGCGGTGGTGGTGGTTGGTGGCGGCGGCGGTAACAGTAGTGGCTGCGATGGTAGTGGTGGTTGGTGACAGTGGTGGTAATGGTAGCGGTGGCGTCGTGGTGGTGGTAGCGGTGGCGATGGTGGTGGTGACAGTGGCGGTGACGACAGTGGTTGCGATGATGGCAGTGGTTGCGATGATGGCAGTGGTGGTTGATGGCGGTAGTGATGATGGTGATGGTGATGGTGACGGTGACGGTGATAGTGGTGTTGGTGGTGGCGGCGGTGGTAGTTGTGGTGGTGGTGGTGATGGTGGCATGGCGGGAGTGATGGGTGGGGGTGGTGGTGATAGTGGCGGTGGCATCGTGGTGGTGGGGGTGGTGACGACGACACTAAAGGTACAACGGCGGCGGCGGCGATGGTGGCAATGGTCGTGTCGGGATGATGGTAGTGGTGGTGGTGGTGATGATGGTAGAGGTGAAAAGTGATTGAGAGAGATAAGTATTTCTCATTTTGTGCCTGGGAACAAAAAAGCAAAAAATTTCTGATTCTTTTTTCTGTTCCCCAACACAAAAATTAAACTGGTTTATCCCGGAAACAAAAAAATAAACCGATTTTACCAAACGAGTTTTCTATCCATTTCTATTCCCGGGAACAAAAATTAAAAAAAAAAAATTGATTCTGGGAAGGTTGTTATGCGCACCCTGAGTCTCTGATACCATGTAAAGAATCAATTCAACCCAAAAGCTTAAGTTGTTGAGTGATGTTACAGTAATGGTTTTATATATCTCAACGATATATATAGAGAAAAACATTTCTACTTTTGCTGCAGAAATTTTTTCTCTGACACAGTCACATAAAAGTGAGAGTAATGGGACCCACTTACTTTTTTATGAATGTGGCAAAAAAAATTCTACAGAAAAAATAAAAGTGTTAAATTATATATGCAACAATATTGGCAACCTTACCGAATTCAAAATTCATTCATTTTCTGGATTTTATTTTCCTTTAATGTTTTGGACTTTGAAGGATATTTTGTCGTCCGTACTTTTCTCGTAACGTCTTTAATAAATCTTCATTTCCTATCAAATAAAAAAATAAATGGAACATCTAGGGAGCACAATGGATGCTCATTAACTGGAAGCAAGCACGTACAGATCAAGGCAAAAAAGATTACCAAAAATTGAACTCTGTTAAAATATTTTAGTTTAGAAATAATTAACCAATCAAATGTTCAATTAAGTAAATAAGAGGTTACTTATTAATCAGTCTTTGAACACCATTAACCAATTGAGTGGTTGATTGTTCCTAAAATGGAAACATTTTTACCAGGAATTCCTTTTCTCGTAATTTTCTCTGAAAATAGACCCTCGTAACGAAGTATGTCTTCTTATAGCCTAATTAATTAACAAACAAACTCAGCACAACCAGCCACCCAGGTAATATCTGTCTTAATACCAAGACAACTCTCAAGATCATCACTGAGAGGGTAAGGAAAATCATAAGCATACCTCTTCCGGGCTTCCAGAGTAGAAGCAATTGGCTGCATACTGATCAATTCAATGGCTTCCTGGAATTTTATGCCTGGAACAACGTCAAATAGTACCTACAGAAGATTCTCCAGTCATGACAGGACAACAGAGGATGATAACAGAAGATTCTCCAGTCATGACAGGACAACAGAGGATGATGGTATTATATTTAATTTCAAATTACCAAGCATAATAAATCTAAAATAAATTCTGAAATGTTTCATTAGAAAATTATATATTATCAATTTATGATATATTTTCCTTTAAAATAAAGGCTGCAATTCTATAGTGGCTATGTGCTATTCAAGGCTGAGTAATTGTCCTTGAGCCCGTTTGGTTGGGCTTTTTCTCCTCCAAAAGATGTATTTTTCAAGAAAAAGTCCTTATTGTTACACATGAGTGTTTGGATGTCTGCACACAAAAATTTAAAAACCTGCTTTTTTTTTATCAAAGTTAAAATTTCTGGATTCTAAAAAGATCAGAAGTTAAAAGTCAAATATTTTTTCAAAATTCAAATTTGCCCCAACCCAAACCAATTTCACCTCCACTTTCACCACCACCATCGTCGTCGCTGCCGCTGCCATTGCCACCACCTCCTCCACCATTGCCGCTATCGCCCCACCACACCTCATCATCATCACCACCACCTCGATGTCATCGCCACCAACCCCAACCCCAACCAATCGCACCTTTATCACTGCCGCCACCACCACCTCCCGCGCCACTGTCGGGTCGCCACCACCACTCCCTGCCATCACTACCATTACCCCTGTCATTATCACCCTTCCACCACCCATACCACGTCGTTTGGTTACCAACCGTTTCTCTTCCCCAAATTCTAGAAGATAGCAAACATGGAGACCAGGTAATCTTAATCCCTATGTTCTCTTAAAATATTTTTGTATATGAAATTTGGAGTTCCTAGGTTCCCTTAGGTTATTTATATATATATAAATATATATATATATATATATATGAAATTTTGTATATGTAATCCAAATCCCTAGAAAATTTTAAGATGGTTTCATTTCAAATATGTAATCCTTAAGGTATTTAAATTAAAAAAATTTGAGGTGTGCACACTAGGAAAAGATATTTTGATTATGGCCAATTTGATTATTTGTAACTGGCAGGGTTTCCCGGGTCTACCATGGTTCTCTTCCCATTAAAGAAATTTAATAAAGATAATTTATAATAATAGATTTAATTATATATATATATATGATGAATATTAAAATTGTTATGCGATTACATTCTTGATTTGATTATTATATTTGAATTATATAATTGTGCTTTGATTAGGATTACCAGTTTTGCTGACTTTTGTGTTTGTTTGACTGCAATGATACTTCGGGGGAGCAGATTTTTAGTAAATCAGGTTGCAAGGAATGGGGCTAGCAGTGGGCAGTGAGAATAACAACTCAGAAATTTTAGCTAATCCTAAATATTATGTATAAAAACATAGTCTTTGATTTTATTTGAATGTAATAAAGCTAGCCTTGCACTTGTCCCTGTACAGGTGCGGCGGTAACATTTTCCCAAATTGATTTTTAATTTAGCTTCAGCAATATTTATGTAATCTTAATAAATAATTAAATGTTATTTTTGACAATTTTTCTATTATAAAAATATTTTATTATTTTAAAAATTGTTAGAAATTTGGAGGTGTTACAAAATGGTATCAAAGCCTCTGTGGTTCGGCTTGGGGTTTGCTTTTGATACTGACTCGAGGATCAAAGATCCCTAAGTAAAATAAATAAATAAGTAAAAAAAAAAATTGAAGTAAGGAGAGAGAGAAAGTAGAGGAGAAGAGTAGAGGAGAAATGTTAAGGATTGAAAGTGAAATGGTTTGGTTAGGCTAGGTCTCTATTTATAGTCGAAGTTTTGGGCTCTGAATGGGTTTCATGCAATTATTTCCTTATTCTTCATTGATGTATCTGGCTCAGATATTGGCTTCATACGCTATTTTCTTTTTATTCTTAATTTCTTACGGCTCAGAATATCGCTAACTCATTATTGACTCAATGCTGACTCATCATATCTAATCAAATTACTAATCAAAAATTATCAATCAAACATTAATGCATAAATGACCAATCAAGTAATAATTCAAACAATCACAATTTATCATCAAATCATAATAATATATATATATATATACACACACACACATTATTATTATTACTACTAAAATTTATTACTATTATTAATTTATTGTATTATAAATTACTATTATTTTCCAGAGATATTACAGTAACCCTTCCAAAGATCCAAGAATTCCAAGCAAACTGATTACAATGCAATACATTTAACATAAAGTATTACCCGGAGAGGACTTTGGACCGAAAGCCGTTCTAACACGAAGTTCTCAACAAAAGGATCAGAAAAAGTATCTTCCTCTCTAAATGTCACGTGTTCTTTTCCAGAAAGCATTAATGAGAATTTTGAATTCCAAGGCTGGCCAGAATTCACACAAGCAACGAAAGAGGCAACATCAAGCTGATAACATAAAGTATCGCATAGATGCTCCACACAGGACATCTGTCAGAAAATAAAGTTTTTAGCAAAGTTCTACCTATTCATTCATTAAGTACCCACAAAGCACATTTTGAAACATGAAAGACGAAAAATACCTGATCCAATTTATTACCATAAAGAGAAGATTCTTCAATCCGAATTACATGCGACTTACTTGCCCAGAGAAGTTGCATTAATTTCCTCTTTGCTGCTATTTTACCGGCCAATAAATCCCAACCCATGGCAGCTACCAAAGGCTGAAGTTGTGGAAACAATTGGAGGACCTGCCACAAACAAGAAGTACGTAAGTTTATATTTGAAAGTACAGCTTGTGGTGAGAGTTAAATTGGCAGTTCATGTAATAATTGTTCCAATACCAATTTTTATACACAGGCATATTGACATAAAAACAAAAAAAATGCACATACATTACTAGCTTCTTCCAGCTGCTCCCTCTTCACAGCTGACAGGGCAGTATCCATAATACACTCAAGAACATGTAGTCCAGAAACTCGAGCATATTGATACATCTCTGTCTTACAAGATCTGATTACCTCATTCAGGAAGAATGCCTTATCATCTAAATTCTTACCGGGCTTCAGTTCTGCCAGATATCTTTGAAGACGTACAAGAGGACGTGGAATGAAGTTGTCAGTTTGAACTCTATCCATTTCGATCTCTTCAGACAATAGCTCATCGTGAATGCTCTAAAGAAAGGCATTGATATTTAATATAGTTAAGCAAAACAAAAAATTCTTACATAATTTGGCTAAGGAAAAAAATGCTATGTTGTTAGCTCATCTTATCACTGTTAGACACTATTCAAAATAGCGGAAGAGAATAAACCCATGATAAAGTGACCAATCTAAATTGATACGAGTTGAGTGATTGTGGAGCCAATTTATCAAAGCTGGTTTCATGGGGAAAGGAAGAGGGAGACAACAGAAAATGTATTGATGGTATTCTGTAAAGGACCTTACTGATCAGAAGTCAGAATGTTTCAACAGGTCGCTAAAATGTCTCTTAAAAGACAAAATAAGCATTCCCAAAAATCCCTGCTTGCTTTCTTTAAAATGAGGTGTCTTAAAATGTCATGAACCAACTCTCCTAAAAGCTTAAATTGTTAGGTGAAGACACATGAATTGTTTTATATTACATATCTAACTTGCCCCCTCACACAAGTGACCTTTGGGCTTGAAGCATGGACAATCCACAATATCACTTGCCTTGTGGTGAAATTCAACATTTTTATTAAAAGAATGGGAATGGCAAAGATCAAACACTAGATCATGTGGTCATAAAGGCTCTAATATCATGTCATAAACCAACTTTCCCAAAAGCTTAAACTGTTAGGCGAAGACACATGAATGGTATTATATTACATATCTATAACATTATAAGCTCTTAAAATTCTTATTATTTTTTCTTGCATCCCTTTTGAAGTGATGTCTTGCCATGCACATGTTCTATGTGACTATGCCACTTTAGCACTTCCTGAATGTTAATTACTTTACATCTGAACAAGATAAGGAAATAAAACTCTTGAGCAATAAAAGAATATAACATGACAAAGAAATCCTACAGCGATGCATGTAGAAATGAAAGTATGCTACTTACTGAAGGCTTTGTTAAGATATTATCTTCAAGAAATAATTATATGAAAGCAACAAATTGGAGAAAGAAGGAGAGTGTATACCTGAATGATTTGAACAATATCTCTGCAATTTGATGAAAGAGCTTCGCTATAAATCTTTAGCAATTGATTACGCATGATACGCCAAGAGTCCCCAAACTTCTCACTTCGTGATAAAACGATCTTCAGGAGATCTTTCAAAACTATGCTACAAAAGAATTAGGAAACATGCAGATATGAACATCTAGGACAGGAAAAATGTTGAAATAAAACATAAAAACACAAATTAATTAATTAAGAAAGAAGAAGAAATTTAATTAATTAGTTAATAAACAAAGAAGAAGAAGCGACCTCAGGTCCTCGACTATTATTATATAAAGAATGATACATATTATTCATTCAAATCCAGAGGTAGCACAGATACTGATGGTAGCCGTGAAAGAATGAGGTAAAACACAGGAACCTTGTAAACTCACGGGCAATAATGTAGCAATTAAATCTGTCCATGTATCCACTAATTTGAAGAATAAGCTTGAATAATTGATTCTTCCAGGGTGCTTACTCATGACAGTTTTGCAAGAATATAAATTACAATAAATCACAGAGAATCGTCTCCTAACTGTTTTATTGAGCCATGTTGCCTCAGTGTTTTCTTTTTCTTTTATCTTTTTAGTAAGATTTCTTATCCTCCTCTCCTCCAAATGCACATTCACTCCTTTCATTCTATTATCATATTCTTCTTTGATCTAAACAATAATAATTTTGAGAAAAGGGTCGACCATAGCACTAAGCATACAACTAAATAAGAATGAATTAAGAAATTATTATTTGCCTACTGTTAAAGATTTCCATAGCTCAAATAAAATCTAGAAACAAAATCTTTATAGCCCTGCCATAATAGATTATGACTTCGAGAAGTTCGTGATAAAACGTTAAGTTCCTAAGTGTGAACCGGTCATTCAAAGCTCCATGTTTTTTTTTTTAAGACTAAATGTTTAAAGGGAAACTTAATTTCTATGCTTAAAGCAACCCTCACACGAGTTGCTTCAGTTTGCAAAAGGGAATAAAAATGAACATACCGGTACTCAGATTGATCAAGTCCATAATCAAAATGGAGAAAACGGATATGAGAAACTGCCCCTTCTGCATCATCCACTTTGAGACTCTCCCTCATAGCATCCAGATGAGCAACCTGAACAGTCCTCTGAGTCCCACACAGCACCTTAATATCCTCCTCCAATTCCTCACCTCCCTTCACAGCAATTGCTAAACCCGGATCGTCACCCTCCCAATGCCTAATTTGCAAATGAATATTCACACATAGTGCATCAAAGATATCCGCATGATCCAAAATCAACTTCCTCAAACTCATCAACTCTCCTTCTTCAACCGAAGCCACACTTGCAGTAGTCCAATTCTCACTCCTCTCGATTTCACCATCCACATCCTCATCCACTCTCAGCCTCTTCACACCTAACTCTAAAACCCCATCCAAAACTCTTTTACACTTTCCTAACGAACCCGGTTGCTCCTCCTCCGAACCTTGTAACACCAGGTCGATCAAATCTTGAACCAGTAGCAGGAACTCGGCGCGTAACCGCAACGTGTCTTGGTCGAAATTCCATGCCGAGGAAGCGTTATCCAATTGCAACAATTCGAGTGTTGATAGGTAGGTGAGGAGAGCGGGAGATGAACAAGAGTGCGACCACGCGATGTTTCGGAATCGACCCGATCGAGCAACGATTGTTTGCAGAATTTCGCGAGCTAGGTCACGGTTTCGGGTTCGGAGGGCAAGGAGAACGCCTCGTAAGGGTTCGAATTGAGCTAGGTGGAGATGGTTCGCGGCAAGGCGACAGAGGATTTCCGTTTCTTTGCCCATTGCGCTGCGAGAAACGGCGATGGTGCTTGCACTTTCACTGCATTCGAACCTGATTGAACTAGGAGTATTAGTGTGATTTTTCTGTTTGGTTTGCGAGAAAATGATCAATGTCCAAGAAAGGAAAAATTAATAGATGTTCAGGAATCAATAAAGGATATTTTATTTCACTAAAATTATTATTTTATATCTGACAAACAAAAAATCGGAAAGTGAAGGAAACATAATGAAAAAACTGGCTACTTCTGAACAGGGGTGTTAACGAGCCGAGTCGAGCTTTGGTCTTAATGGACCGAGTCTATATTCAAACGTGTCAGACTGGCCTTAGCCTGTTACCAGTTACGAATATAATATCAGCTTGTGGCCTGACTCATTTACAAAAAATAAAAGCCTAGTTTAGTCTCTTAGCCTGTTTTAAAAAAATAAGACAATAAAAATTTATCCAAACAAAATCTACAATCAACAGCACTAGTAATTTCATAAATATTCATAAATTTAAATTTTATCCAAATAGCATAATATAAAATAAAGTCATTCAAAAAGTCTATTTAATTAATAAAATGGGATGAAATGAATTAAGAAGAGAGAGTACTATCACAAGTAGTATAAAAAATATAAAAAAATAAAAATAAAATATATTAGACAAGACTGAGAGGCTCTAAGGCCGAGCTTTTAAATTGGAGTATGAGACATTTTTATTAAACAAGCTTTTATACAAGTCCAAGCCTGGATCCAACAATCAATTTTAGACATGTAAGCTCAGGCCTTCACGAGCCGAGAGGCCTTAGTGATAAACGAGCCTCTGAATCACTCCACAATCTTAGTTTGTTCCGTATTTATACGAAATTTCAAAATTATCATAAATCGTGTGATTGTTATAATCTTTCATAATTATTTTCATTGTTTTTTCTTTTTGAAGTTTTAAACTTCTGCAAAAATAAAAAATAAGAATATAAGAAAATTGGAAAAAGGAGCAGATGTCGTCTATGAATCTAAATGTTTTTATTTCTTTTTAATTTTTATAATTGTTTTACGAAGAAAGTTATATTTATAAAAATTTTCGCTTATCAACTCTTATAATAAAATTTGAATCGTTAATTTTGGTCAATTTAACAAATAAAAGAAGACAATTTTGTGGTTGGGATCTTTTACAATTGTTCGAAACTGTGGACGATCCATATTTCCTTAATGATACGTGACTATAATTTAGTTGGGATAAATTATCTTTGACATCATGATTTGGAATATATTTGAAATAATCTTTTTTTTTTTTTTTGAATACAATATTTGAAATAATCTTTAATTTGGTATATTAACTCACTATTTGGTGAACGGCCATTAGTTAAAATTATTTTCTATTTTATATTTGGACCCATTATATGGATCCAAAAGATATATTATTAATAATTTTATTTTATGCATTTAACGATATTATTAATTGTTGTTTGTAATAATATTATGTAAGTGTGATATCAGAAAAATATTTTTGTAGTTACTGCATATAAGTTATCTGCATTTACTCCCAAAAACGGTATCATTTTGCGATTGAAAGATTACAAAATTATAATTGTAAAGACTACAAAACCTTGAAATAAATTAAAATTACAAAAATACTATGATTTCCCCCCAAAACGACGTCGTATTGGACTTACTGTAGAAAAAGCGAACACTCATGATATATAAATATACAAATGAAACCACATGAAAGAAGAAGAAAGTGGCTTACCACCTGATGCTTCCTTAGGCAGTGTTTGGTTCGGGACTTCTGGTCATTATCCCAGGGAAGTGAAAGTGGGTTTCCCATTTCTCCACGTTTGGTTGAAGAGAACCTGAAATTTATCCATCAAACTTAGTTCCCCAGCTATTGATATATGTGTGTAAACAATGATCAATTTCACTGTCTAGGAAGCCTTCTCCCAGGGTGGTATTGTTGTGAAAACCGGCTAAATGGAAAAAGGGATGAAAAATGTGACAAATTTACCCCTTCTCTTAAATATAGTCTTTCATTTTTCAGGAGCACCCAAGTTTGACAAAAGCTAAAAGTAGGAAGAAGATATGTGGAGTGATATGGATGTGAAGAAATTGACAGTGGATGCATCGATGCATGCTGCACATAATGAACGCCTTCCACTTCGAGTTGTAGTACAGGTTCTCTATTTTGAGCAGCTTAGAGCTTCTGCCAATCCCTCAACAATCAACTGAGAACGATCTTATTCACACCAGAAGCTCACTCACCGTGTGACGCTGACGGTTGCTGGGTGGAGAGAGGACAAAGGGCGTCTGAAAACAAGTTGCTGGGTTATGGAGTTTTGTTAACACATGTGGAAGTGTACTCAAAAATATATGTTAACATTTTAAAATTTTATAAAAAAGGTTACTTTTGTAGTTTTAACTTTTTTTCCCATCTATTTTTTATTTTCAACCAAACACACATCAGGATTTTTAACCCAATTTTCTCATCAATATTTTGCGGTACCAAACAACTTTTTTTAAACTTTCCTACCAAACTTACTTTCCTTCTATTTTCCTGTCAATTACATTTCTCTAGTAAAAAAAAGTTTCTTCCGAACCAAACACTACCTTAGGGAGTTTGGAGGAAAAGGAAGGAAAGGAAAATGAAAGCTATTATCTTCTCTTATTTGGGAGTTAAAATCTCCCAAATTGGGAAAACTTTAATTTTAAAAATAATAAGAGTTTTGGAGGATTTTTGTGAAAATCTCCAACAAATAAGAGAAGAGAATAATAAAATATTTTTCTCCCTTTTATTTTTCTCCAAAAATTAACTTTCAAACAAGCCTTAATGATAAGGGAATGGTTAGATTAGTAACTAGGATAAAAGGGTTTTTAGTTTATCCATCGATTAATTCGATCGAGTGGGGTAACAAATCGATTAATATATCTTTATTAAATTTTTAACACAATTATATATATATATATAGAGGATCCTTTGATATCAGTATCAAATTTTAATTTGACACCTCGTATGAGAGTCATTAGATCAAAAGAGATTAACGACTCTGATTTGTAAGCATGTGATACCATTGATCTTCTTTTGATCTAACGTCTCTCAGATGAGATATCAAACTTTAAATTTGACACTAATATCAAAAGATCTTACCTCATATATATATATATATATATAGATAGATATATAGAGGTAGGATCATTTGACACCTTATCTGAGAGCCGTTAGATAAAAAAAAATCAACGACTCTGGTTTGCAAGCATGTGACACCATTGATGTTTTTTGATCTGACAGCTCTCAGATGAGATGTCAAATTTGAAATTTGACACTGATATCAAACGATCATATCCTATATATATATATATATATATATATATGCGCGCGCGATCTGTGTATTTATTGACATTGGTAGTATATATCATAAATTAAATAAATAGAATGTAAATCATAAATGTAGATACGTGTCGTGTTAAGCACTTCAATTTGGATCCCCTTCCGTATTGCAAGTACAGTCAGTATGAAAGGGATGTGGGACACTGGGACTCACTCACCCATTATTCGTTTTTTTGTCCGCTAACTGAATAGATTCAAAATTTTACACTAGTTGTGTTTACAGGACAAAATATAAACTTAAAACTATTAATTAAACAATTAATGTATTAGATTTTAATGGTTGTACATGTCATTATATATGATGTACATGTATTTTATCATAATCTTCGTTGTTAATTTTTTATTAATGATTATAATTTTTCATAATGGTGACAAAACGGGTCGGCCTGCCATCAACTCGTCCAAAATGGATTGGTCCGCCCCGACCCGCAGCTTGAATGTTGGTTGAAAATCTCAACCCATCCCGTTTTATGGTAGATTGACAGGTCAACCCGTCTAAAAAATAAAAAACAATTAAAAATTAAAAAAAAATATTTTATTAATTTTATAATATTAATAATTTTTATTTCACATTTCTCTTATTTTTTTTCAATCTCAAGTCTAAATGTATGTTAATATTCAATCAAACATTTTTTAGAAACTTAATTTTGTCCATATATAAATAACATTTGTCATAAATAAAAATTTTCTTCTCTATTTTTTTCTAGGGAGTGCTAAGATAAAAAAAATGAATATTGCAAAAGCTTAAAGACAAATAAAATACTATCTAATAGTAAAATATATATATATATTGACCCATCGAGCCAACCCGTCCCTTTCCGCCGCCAACCCGTTTTGACCCACAACCCGACGGGGCGAGTTAGTGCGTTAAGATGTGTAACTCAACCCGCTCTGTTTTGACGGGTTGGCGGGTTGATCCATCGGTTTAACCCATATTGGTACCTCTAATTTTTTATTTATACGATTTTTTTTATTATTATGTGAAATAGTGAAGACAACGAATCATGAACCAATGAAGGCTTTCGAGAGATAGTTAGTCTGTAAGACATGTATATATATCGGGCACGGTTATGATCTTACATTTTTTGACAAATTTTAAAACAAATATAAAACATGGTAACAATTATAACATAATATATGAAATTCATTACCCCAAATAAAAAAAAGGAAGAAATAGACTTTCTTGCTATATGAGAAAAAAATTCCCTGATTTACTCTATAATTTTAATCTCTCATCTCTAATATGTATGTGTATTAAAGAATTTTGTTATATGTGTGTGAGGAGAAATAGAATTTTTCGAAGGATGAGATTAATTTTCCCTTAAAAAAAAAAAGGCATGTCCTATGGACTCTAAAAATTTTGCTTGAAATTAGAGTTTGAACCCTGATCCAAAAAAACTCTTGAAAACTCAGTTACCAACTGAGCTACTCTTGGGGTTTATGATATTGTTTTAAATATTACATCATGTTCAAAGACATTTTCAAGTGCAGATTTTTATATTATGAATTATGTCGGTTGTTAGAATTAAATATAGGGTTTGTTTTTTCTAAAGTTATTTTAGATAACTTTATCTAATGTTCACCAAAACAATGTCATTTTGGGGCAGAAATCATGGTATTTTTGTAATTTTAATTTATTTCAGGGTTATAATAGTCTTTATCATTCTAATTTTTTTATTTTTCAATCTCAAAACAACGTCGTTTCAATGAACATTAGACAAAATTAT